TTGTGGCTCACGGCAAGTAGTTTTAAGACTGCTCTCTCTCCTGATATCTCCGAATGTCCTTATTGATGTGACGTAAGTTGGACTCATACGTGTCGGCGCCAGGGAGAGGAAGGCGGGTGTCATTATGTCTCGGCTCCAGATAGGGGTCAGTGGAGTTCAGAGGCCTGTCCGCCCCCCCTAGGGCACAGGTATTCCTTTCCCAGTTCCTTTGTTCTGTGCACAGAGCCGAGGGGCTTCTCTAGTCAGTAGTCACGCCTTTCCTGTAAGCTTGTGACTTTAAGCCAGGATCGTGCTTCTTTCGCTGTCCTTCACGTCCTCCTCACGAGCAGATCTGGTTGGTGTGCACGTTAGAGCTCAGGGGCGGCACCAAGACGGGGACGACAGAAAAGCCATTGTCAGCAGCCTATGGCATCGCTCCCGCCTGAGCAAGGTTGCTTTCCTTTCTGAAGTCGTACACGTTTCGCGTTTTATCTGCTGCTCCCTCTTTCGAGAATGGAGCTGCTGCTAGGCTGGGTGAACGGGTCCAGGACTGTCCAGAAAGCCCCCCCCCCGCTGGCGTGGTGACACCCCCGCACACAGAGCAGGGGCTGCCTCGAGGGTGTCGTTGTGTGTGCCTGGCCTGCCCTCCTTCTCGCCCCCCCCTTCCCCTCCATCTCTCTCTTGTGTGACGTGGTTTTTCTGTGTCTGGGTTTGTAGTGACCCTCAGAGCCCTCGGGCTAAGCTGCGGGAATGGTGCTGTCGCGGAGGGGAGAGTAGGTTACCAGAGCTGGTGTGCGATAGGAGGCCGAGGGACGCATTTTGCACGTAGAGGCCAGTCCAGTCGGGACCTAGTAAGCCCCCCGTCAGAACACCCCGACTTGCCGAGGCTGCTGCTTTCCCGGAGGTACGCTCTGTAGGGTGTGCCCTGCAGAAACACACACAGACGCAGAGATGTACACAGGTGCACATTCTGCAGAGTGTAGCTGTGCGACCTAGGGGTGACTTAGGTGCTCGCACACCCGGGAAGAATGCTCACGTTAACCTTGGCGTCCCTGCAGCGAGCGCTCGAGGCAGTGCAGGCGGAGGCGTCTGTGGGGTCCCAGGGCAGGGCGTGCCGTCTCTGTTTACAAGTTCTGGCCGTTTGAGCACGTGTGCATATCCGCAGGAGGTCTAAAAGAACAACTCAAACTACGCAGAAGGTCTGGGAAGGGGACTAGAGTGAACGGGGAGTAGATACTTGGTTGTTTTAGTTTATACACATTTGTAGTATCTACTTTTGTCAATAAATAATCAGTTTTATCATTTAAAAAATAACACTTATTGGGGTAAAGGAGTTAGTGGTACATTACTTTCTTTTAATGTCTTTTACCTGTAATTTTGTGTTTCTGCCTGGGTTTTAAGTTCCGAAGTTCTAAGGGGGTCATGGAGGTCATTGGGTCGCTGGTCTTGTTCTTAGGTGGATGCTGTTTTTGATTTTTACTGTGTGATGTGAATTATTATCCCTCTGCACCTACTTTTTCATCAGTGTCCTTGGAAGAGCGTCCCCTCACTGAAATGTTAAGACCTATCGGCTGAGTAGTGGTGCCAACTAAATGAATTCTTCTGTCTTTTGAGAAATACAGAGCTGGTTGGCAGGGGTCTACCTGATGGGTGTAGACATCGTGCTTTGCAGTTATAGGCATCACTCCTCCGTGCCTACCACGGTTGTAGGCATCACCCCTCCGTGCCTACCACAGATCTAGGTATCACCCCCTCCGTGCCTACCACAGTTGTAGGCATCACCCCCTTTGTGCCTACCACAGTTGTAGGCATCACTCCTTCTGTGCCTACCACAGATCTAGGCATCACCCCTTCCGTGCCTACCACAGTTGTAGGCATCACCCCCTCCGTGCCTACCACAGTTGTAGGCATCACCCCCTCGGTGCCTACCACGGTTGTAGGCATCACCCCCTCCGTGCCTACCACGGTTGTAGGCATCACTCCTTCTGTGCCTACCACAGATCTAGGTATCACCCCCTCCGTGCCTACCACAGTTGTAGGCATCACCCCCTCCGTGCCTACCATGGTTGTAGGCATCACCCCCTCCGTCCCTACCACGGTTGTAGGCATCACTCCTTCTGTGCCTACCACAGATCTAGGTATCACCCCCTCCGTGCCTACCACAGTTGTAGGCATCACCCCCTCCGTGCCTACCATGGTTGTAGGCATCACCCCCTTCATGCCTACCACGGTTGTAGGCATCACCCCCTCTGTGCCTAGCACAGTTCTAGCTCAATGCTCATCAGCAAAGTGGGAAAATTATTCATAGAAAAGTCAGAGTTTTTATAAAAATGAAATATTAGAATGCCCCTTTATCATTTTCTTTTTTAACTTGTGGTATTTGGCTTTGGTGGGGAAAGGAGAAATAGTCAGTGCCGTGTGGGCTCTCAGAACATAGAAGCCCACCAGCTTGATAGGTTACGGGACACACACATATACACATAGCAGATGACACTACCAGTGAGCTGAATATTGGCGTTTCACTGAAGCCCATTAATTTCATTTTACTCATGTTTTCAATTAATCTCAGAGCCCAGATTAATATCTTCCAGCTTTCTGGGAAGGAATGAAACTTTTGTTTGTCTTTTTATTTAATCCAGACTAAAATTCAGAATACTGGATGGTTTCTATGGTTTGAAATTCCAACGTTTGTTCGGTGGTTTTGTGGCCTCCACTTGTGATACCGGTACGTGAACGGTATAGCTCCAGATGGGTGCAGGTCCCCGTCAGGGAGACAGCAACGCCCACACCAGTGAAAACAGTTACAAGGTTGTCTCTTTCTGTTGGTGTCCGTCAGGTCCCACACAGCGAGCACGGATGCCTTGAGCACAGTCCAGCTCCCGGGCATGAAACTGGGACACGTGATGTTTGGACACACCTGTGCAGGCCCCGCCTGTGCCCTCACATCTGTTTTAGTGTCTTTAAAGTTTGTTCATTAGAATGAACAATTTGTTTGAAGTATAATTCGATAATTTTAATATTTGCTAAAAATTTCTTTTCAGCTGAGATATTTTACTTACTTAGGTCACTAGCTAACGAAGCGTCATATCTCTGTCGATAAGGCATGCATTGAGCCCTGGCAGGTGTGGCTCAGTGTTTGAGCGTTGTTCAGTTCCCTGAAAGGTCACCGGTTCGATTCCTGGTCAGGGCACATATCTAGGTTATGGGTTTGATCCCTGGTCAGGTGTGTATAGGAGGCAGCTGATCGATGTTTCTCTCTCTCTTCTCTTAAAAAAAAAATCAATAAAGAAAAGAAGAATAAAACATGCACTAACTTATAGTCCCTGCTGTCTTCTCCAGCCTTCATCAGTGAATATGCCTTGGTTCTGGGGGTAGCTGATTGTTCGTGAGGTCAAGTGCCTTGTTCTCCATGGGGCATAGCCCAGAAGGTGCCCAACTCAGCACATCTGTGAAGTCCTCTTTGACTATGAAGCATAGAATACATGTACTCAAACCTTTTATCCTTCCGGTCAGCCAGCTGTGTCTCGTTCATTGAGTGGGGGGCATGCTCCTGTTCTAAGTGACATGTCCAGAGACAGCTGTGGACACACAGTGACCCCCTGTCTGCTTTTGTACCCTGAACCTTGTGTCACCCCATGTGGACTGTGCTAAGCCAGCAGAAGAAATCACCTTCACAACAGCTTTGCTCGCTAAGTTTTTCTTCTTTACCTTTCTAAACCCAACTTCTCTGCTCATACGATTTCTCCCACTTGAAACACACTCTTCTCTTGTAATTTGAGAAGCAAAAGGATAATTTTGTGAGGAGATTTTTGGTTCTTATGTTGAAACCCTGGTGATCTCTGGAAAATGAACGTATGCATTTATCTTTTCCAAACCTAGGCGCTGCCTTTCATCAGTTGGATTTCTAGCCTACCGTCAGTCAGTTAACTCCTGAGATGCTAGGACAGTAGGTGTCGTCGTCTCTGGTTTGAGGGAATCCAGAACTGGAAACACTTAGTCTCCTTGTGCACAGACTGCTTTGAAGATGCTTCAAGACTCACTAAATCTTCTGCATGTCTTCTTCTGCCCTGTATGGATTTCTCCAAAGATTATAATCCGCCCCCCCCTTTTTAAAAAAAATTTATTAGTCTTTACCCTGCTCCTCAACCATCGCTTAAAATAATAAAATGTAGTCAGCTTGTTTTCAAGTGCTTTAATTTCATGGACATTGCCAGGGACTTTTAGATGAATGTGTTACCTGTGGAAGTGGAGTTCTTGGGGTGCCACGAGGAAATGAATTTCCTGAGGCTCCCACGGGAGGGCGGGGTTTTGTGGAAAGCTTTATTGATGATGTAAAATTAGGGGGATTCCCCTCCAAGGTCCCATCTCTGTCCATCCTGACGTGGACGTATTCCAGTCTTGTCTTCAGCAGGGCCAGAATGAAGGCCATGCCCAGAATTCTGCTCCGTATTACACAGTCCAGTCCAGCATCTGGCTGGCTTCGCTGGTCCCCAGCTGCCGTGGGGGTCCGCACGGCCGTGGCCATGCGGTGCGGCCCCTAGGGCACCTGGCTGTGGAGAGAACATGTGGACACACGGGTGAGGGGGTCATGGAGCGAGAGAACCGGCGCAAGGAAGCTCCTTCCTCCAGGGTTTAACCAGGACTTAACCGATGAGCTTTCCAAGATTTCACATGCTTCTGATGGGTGCACCCCTAGCCAGTTCATTGCTCCCCAGGCTAGACTGACAGGCAAGCACCTCCCCTGCATCACCCTGACCCCTGCACACGTGTGCCTACCTCCAGCCCCCAATGGGGGAAGGGAGGGCTGTTAATCCCCTTGGAGGAACATCCTGTGTGGAGCTTCCCAGGTGGCCATGCTTACAAGGTCTGATTTCCCTTGGCTTTCTTCCCTTTATTCATATTAACTAGCTGATTATAATGCCAACAGGTTCTTTGTGGACCACTGTGCACGTTTCCCTGGGGTACGCAGGGCCTGTTGGAGTCCCCGCAGCCAGTGCAGTGACCCCGTCTCTGTTTTTCAGCGCAATCGCCTCTATCCTGAGGGCCTGGCTGGACCAGTGCGCAGAGGACTTCTGGGAGCCCCCGCACTTCCCCTGCCTGCAGAGGCTGCTGGGCTACCTCAGGCAGGCCATGCCCGGCTCCGACCCGGAGAGGCGGGCACAGAACCTCCTCCAGCAGTTCCACAGGCAGGAGGCCGACCCTGACCGTGAGTACTTGTCTGCTCCCAGGGAAAAGCCGGTTCTGATTCCGTGCCCGTGGTGGGGACAGTTCTCCCTCCCTTGCTGACTAGGAGACCTTGGTTTCCCTCCAAAGGACAGCTTCTGGGGACGGGGGCAGGGGGACGCAAAGTTCTCAGGGTCATTCAGGAGCTCATTCCGGAGCCCTAGAGTTTTGGAGCAAAGGTGCGTTTCAGGACCACCTACTTTGACTCCATTTGGGACTCAGAGAAACCAAGTGATTTCCTAGGGTTTCTTCTGATGCCATAAAGAGGGTGATCTTTAATCTTTCTTTGTACACGCTGAACCTGCATTTGCTCTTTATTATCTGCCTAACGGCTCCACCTTCTATCGAATGGAGACCATCACGAACAACAGCTCCCATTCAGCAGGCACAGAATTGCATCCAGCTCTGCCCCCGCCCTCAGCAAAGCTGGGAAGAGGTGTTTCTCTTTCTCCGAAAAGCACCGCTGTAGAACTGTGCCCCCTGCCAGGGCAGACTGCCGGTCATTCCCAGTCTCCCGTGGCCTCAGCAAAGGTCGTTTCTGGGGCTGTTTTTTCCTATGTGGGAAATTGACTGCCTGTTTTCAAGGACACAGGAAGAGCCACCCGTGCGGGGTCGGGGAAGCCTGGGACTATCAGGCGCTGGAGAAAGCCAGCAAGATTAGGACGGCCTTTCAGGGGGATGTTCCTTTCCGTCCCCCCTCTGCTGGGGATGGTTGCATGACGCTGACCCACTTGGAGCTCCTGACAGGCGTTCCCCTGCAGTGACGCCTGGTTTCCTCAACGGGTAAAGGAAATGGTTTCTCCACACCGATAAGGGAAGCAGCCTCAGCGCCAAGGAAAATAACCTCGAATTCCAAATCGTACCTGCTGAGCTTTTTACGTTACGGGGGACCAGAGCGGGGAAAACGCAGTTGCATCACTGGGAGCTGACTGCCAAGGGCTGCATCTCAGATGACTTCATCCTCCGGGAATGTTTGGATGCCAGGGGCACAACTCCAGCCCCTGGACCTCTGCTCCCCGGGGCTCCCGCCTGCCTTTGTGCTGGAGGGGAGGCTGCGAGGGCCCAGCTCTCCCTGGGGCTGCCCTGGCTCCCGCCCAGTGGGGAACCGGTGGGACCAGTCAGCCACGGTTTCCTCTGGGACTGAGGTGGAGCTCACATGGTGGACAGGGCAGGAGAGCGCCCGGCTTTGGAAAGGCTTTCTGATGGTACCTAAGAATGAATTTTTTCTAAGTTTGGACATTTTTTTTTTTTTTTTTTATCAAGGAAGCTTGAAACTCTGATTATTAATTACAGGAGCCATTACTGCCAAGAAGTTTCAGGAGCTTGGTTCCCATGCTCCTGTTTCGTCCAGTATCATGCCGGCAAAAGCAGCAACCTGTCTTGAATGCTTTTCACAGGTGAAATCTTGCTGCAGGTTTTGGCTTACACGCCTCTGGAAGAGAGTGGAGAGCAGACACAGTGGTCTGGGCCCCGGAGAGAAGGGACCGGGTGGTCTTTCTCAGCAGCATCCAAGGCCCGTGTCAGGCGGCTGTGAGTGTCCAGTGGAGGAGCAGACGGAGGGTCACCACCTGTACCCCTGGCTGCAGGGGGTCAGCCTCTGCATTGCGCTGATGGAGACAGACTTACACAGTAGCCAGCAAGACTGGGCTGAGAGGCCCATTCTGAACGTTTGTTTGGGATTTCAAATGTCTTCTTCCTCCACGGAATGAGAGCGCACCAGGGCTGTGTCCAGAGCAAGAGATGGAGTCATGGGGTTTGGACTTTCTTTAGCTCATGTCTGTTTGTGTGCCAGACTCCCGAGCAGGTAGTGACCTTCTTCTCCCTTCCCACGCACAACCCATCCCCACTGGCACAGTGCCTTCGGCTCTGGGGAGGGGCCCCCTGACTCTGCATCCCCGTCCCCAGCGTCAGCAGGTGCTCATGCTGCTGCCAACGGGAAGCGGGGCAGGTCCACTCTCAGCACCGTTTTCCCCAGAGAACTGAGAAAAGTACCCCGACTTGACCCAGGGTGCCTGCAAGTCTTTTATTCTGCAAAGAAAGTGAGAAAAGGCTTAAAATGTAAACATATGGGGGGAATACTAGCACATTTAAATTCCTGCTAAGCTGTAACTGAGCAGAGCTAGGTGTTTCTCCTTGAGAAAAGATCGAACAGAGAAGAGAGCAAGGAGTGTGGACGGGCCGGGACGGGGAATCCACCCAGGAACTGGGGAAAGGTTCCCGGGACGGGAGCTGGGGGTCCCGGTCAGACTTCCTCCAGCTCTGGTCTTCAGCATGGAGCCTGGGGTCCTGCTCCATGTGCGGGGTCCCCCAGCTTTGACTGGGAGTCTAGGTAGTGCTCACACGGATCTTTACTCAGTCTGTGCCCTATGTAACTTGACTAATTGATAATCTCATCTCTAGTACGGCTCAAAGTGAATTTAGGATTTAAAAAAATTTTTTTTAAATCCTCACCCAAGGATATGTTTTTATTGATTTTTAGAGAGAGAAGAAGGGGGGGAGAGAGAGAGAGAGACATCAATCTGTGGCCTCCCGTCTGCACCCTGGCCGGAGATCAGTTCCAACCTGCACCCTGCGCTGTGCCCTGACCGGGAATAGACCTGCAGCCTGTTGGTGTACGGGACAACACTCCAACCAGCGGGGCCACCGGCCAGGGCTGAATTTCATTTAAGACTATTCTACTTCGGGCACCTTTCACTTGAGGTGGAAGCTGAAGGCTGCTACTCCAGGTCTTCTGAGGACTTCATCAGCATTTCTGACACCAGATCGGCCCATTTTACTCCCCAAAGCCTGCCCTCCCTTTCCGCCCTGTCCTTCTCAGCTTCTGGTTGTCCGGGGCCCAGGAGTTAAGAATGGAGTATTTGGGGTTCAGGAAGTAGTTGGTCCTTGAGCTGACCAGAGGGTCTGAGGGACCCCAAGGTGAGGGCACCGCCTGCACGTAGCCCAGCTTCTCTCTAGGCTTGGCCTAGCCTGGCTCTGGCCTGGGCCCAGGAGCCAAGGGTTTGTCAAAGGCACGAGGCCTCTAGACTGAGACTCCAGGAAGCAGCAGCGACGCGAAGCCCTCTCTGTTCCACGCACACGCACTGCGCTTGCTCGGCCCCCTGCAGCTCGCTGGACCGTTTGCCTTCCTCCCTCCGAGACAAGTTCCGCTGCGCCCTATGAACAAGCCCTAGACAGCGGCCCCAATAACTCATTTCCCCCGTCTGTCCACAGACGCGTTTTCCAGCACCATCTCCTGCCGCCTGGAGGAGGAAGAGGAGCCGGAGGCTGGAGGGCCCGCGGAATTCACGTGCTTCTCAGAAGATCTCGTGGCAGAGCAGCTGACCTACATGGACGCAGTAGGTCTCCGCTTAACCCCGGGCGCCTGGGAGGGCGGGGGATGCGATTTGCATCTTGTCGCACCCTTGAGAGAGGCTGCGCTGTAAACATGGAGTGAAGGTGTGGCGGAACCGGTCATCTGGACCATTCAGGCCCAAGCGCTTCTGCAACTCTGGGGAAGGTGCTTTTCCCTTGGCACTCAATACACGGAGGGAAACAAGAATGTTAATCCTAGTGAAACAAAATCTACCCGGTCCCATGGGTATTTCTCTCCCTTTAAATGCATAAATAGTTCAGGCTCTGAGCTGTTTATGTGGCGGATTGTATAAGGGGCAGAGTATAAGTGAGGATGAAATTAATCCACCGAATCCACACGACTCTGTGGCAGCTCGTTCTCACGTGTGCCTCTTGCACCTTTGAAGCTGGGGTCAGCTTTGTATTTTTGATTACGTCATACACATTTGAGTACGTCAGCCACATTTCATAGCTCAGTCTTAGCTGATAAATGCCAGTTAAAGAAAACAGGACTATTATGAATGATCACCATTGTTCGGGCTCCTCTGCACTGACCACTTTGGAGAAAGCAGGGAAGAAAGTTGCAGTTTCCATGTAGTGAGCATGCACATGAGCTCCCAGAGTACACCAGTGGGCTGTCAGGTAAGTCTAAGTGTTCTCTCCTTTTACAGACACCCCGTGCATCTTGTGTCGAGTTGGTGTACAAATGTGAATCCGATTGTCCAACAAATTTGTGATTGTTCCACATGATAGCATAGGAGGAAGACGGGAAGCATCACTGCTTATGACATTTAGGCAAAGCCCTGGAAGCCAGCCTTCAAACCCCACATTATTCCTTTTGCTGTGTGAGGTTGCGCAGCTTTTCCCTTTATATGCTTCTGTGAAACAGTGACGTCGATGGCCGTTGCTTGCGTTGTACTTCGGCGGATCGCTTTTCAGGTGTCTGTGATTCCGACGTATCACAGACAGTTCCTGATCACGAGTGCCCAGCAAACACCATGGTTATGATTTTGAGGTCAAAATCTTCAAAGAATTAAATTTTTTTTTCAGTTACAGTTGACAAACAGTATTACGGTAGTTTCAGGTGTACAGTGTAGCATTCAGACATTTATAAAACTTACAAAGTGAGAAATCAAAAATAATCTTAATCGCCTTTTTAAAATTAGTAGCATAGATTTTACTTGGCTTTCCTTCCAAGACAGAACATTCAACATGGTTTTGGGCATTGACATTTTCTTTGGATCACTGTGTTTCATTTCTTCAGCTGAGCAGATTTAGAAAGAACATGGGGGCTTTTCTGATCAGTTTATATCTTAATTATTTACTTTGGTCTGTTGAAATGAACACCATGAGACAAATCAAGTAGAAAAGGATGACTTGGCCCTGGCCAGTTTGGCTCAGCGGTTAGAGCGTCGGCCTGCGGTCCAGAGAGACCTGGGTTCGGTTCCCGCTAAGGGCACATACTTCGGTTGCAGTTTGTCCCCGGCCCTGGTTGGTCGTGCGGGTGGCAGCCACTCGATGTGTCCCTTCACATCGATGTTTCTCACTCTCTCTCCCTTCCTCTCTCTCCCTCCCACTCTATCTGTACAAAAAATGGAAAAATATCCTCGGGTGAGGATTTAAAAAAAAAAAAAAAGAAAAGGATGACTTGTCCATTCAAAAAAATAGCAGTTTACAGATGACGCGCTTTGCCACATGAAATGTCTGTGTCGTCCTTAAAGTCAACTCCTCTTTTGTTCCAGCAACTGTTCAAGAAAGTAGTGCCTCACCACTGCCTGGGCTGCATTTGGTCTCAAAGGGATAAGAAGGAAAACAAACATTTGGCTCCTACGATCCGCGCCACCATCTCTCAGTTTAATACCCTCACCAAATGCGTTGTCAGCACCATCCTGGGGGGAAAAGAACTCAAAACTCAGCAGAGAGCCAGAGTCATCGAGAAGTGGATTAACATTGCTCATGTAATTGTCTGTTTTTAAATATTCTTTCTGTTTAGTCGATATTGGAGACAACGTCATCACTGTGTTTAAATGGTTTCTGTTTGGTTGAAAGACCGTATGTGAGGGTCCATTGGGTTTCGTGACTGTTATTGTTGTTCTTCTGAAGTGAGAAAAGCTGCCTTTCTTAACTTGGGAGCTTATTTATTTTTCCCCTTTTCCTGTTTCTTTTTGCTGACTTCTTTTTGCTCCTGGAACCCCGCACGGCTGCTTCTCCAGGCTGAGGCACTCCATCTGATTTTTCTTTCGTAATCACAGACTGTCAGTCTGTCCCGTGTTCAGTAAATATGAACAGATAGTCTAAGTGTCAAACAGACCGCTCCTCAGCCCGGAGTGGTTGCCCACGCACTCTGTCCCTGCGGACTTGAGCAGCCAGTACCTTCTCGGAGTCCTGAGCCTGTTTCCCTGCAGGACTGAGACGCACAGCTGTCATGGGAATCTGGGGCTTTTCCAGAGCCTTCTGTGTGACGCTGGAGGGGCAGGGTCTAGCCTAGGCCTGAATTACGTTTTGCTGAATGTCATTTGGTCCTCTTGGATCAGCTGCCAATATCCCATACGACCCTCAGTACTTCAGCATTGGGAAGAGGAGAACAGTATTGAGTCCACTGGTCACCGAATGTTTCATGCACTCCTAACTGCACATAAGCTACCATCTTATGTATTTTGGGGACAGAGATAGGATAAACGCAATTAATTTGGTCCTGCAGGAGTCTGCAGTCAAACAAGGAAGCTAAGAGATGCTGGCCTTACCTCGGCCCGGGCAGGGGAGTGGGCAGGGGTGAGGGAGGAGAACCCCCGATGGGTGATCAGGAGGGCTTTACGGGCGGGCTGGCTTTGGGATTTAGCTTGAATCATAGATAGGACTCTGGGTATTGGAAAATTGGGCAAGATTTTTTTTTTCCTCGGTAGAAGAAATTATATCAGCAAAAGCTATCTAATGATTTTGAAAAATAATTATTATGTAAATATCTTACTAGTCCATGTTCTGGGCTACATGGGCCACCCCTCAACAACAATATTTTGCTTTGCCATCCCATCATACGTATTTTCTTCGTTAAGCCTCTACCGGGCACAATGCTTAAGATTTTGCATTCTCTCTCTTTTTACATTCGTTTTAGTTGTCTCGAGTTAAAGAGCAGGGTCATAATTGTACCAGAGAAGTTGCCTTATTTTGAGTTTTTAGGTGGTTTGTTACCACAGGCTTTGTTAGTATATGAAAAAAGGAAGAAACAAAGCATATCTCATGCAATGTCGATTTTTTTTTTTTTCCTGAACTGAGCTTATGATTTCTCAACAAGTAAAAGCTACAAAAAGAAGTTCTGATAGAGTATGATAGAGAGAACGGGATTTCTCTGTCTTCCTAAAATGATAAGAAAGAAATTTTTCTTGCCATAAATGCTATATCATTTGCAGTCCTGTACACGTTTCCAAAGAAAGAAAAGAGTCGGTCTGCCTTTAATCCATCCAGCTGCTTAGCACACCTATAGCAAGAATGTAGCATTTGTGTGTAAAACAGTGCGGCTCAAACTATGGCTTTTGGTCCCAATTAAATATAAATCGTGCATTTATGTGATAATAAGAAGTACGAGTTGAATGATTTGAAGCATATTCCAGATCCCGTAGCACGTGCTTCCAAGCCAAGGGCCTTCACTCTCAGTGAAGCAGTTGCCTCACGTCGAGCATTTGTGCCCCTTGAAATTGTGTGGGCTCACGTACAACAGTGAACCTCACAGCTGGTTTCCTGCCAGGATGTATTTTACTTCTTCTGCATTATAATCACAGTCCATTTCTATAGAGAGGATGCTTGAAAACTGATAATTTTACAGGCAGAGAAAATTTCTGACCAAACGTGACTATATTTTCTTGGACGGGCTTCCCTGCTACATTTTGACTTTTGTGTCCTATGTCCTGGAAGGTACCTCCTTTTCTAGAAACGAGCCCCGATGCCTTTTCCACTCCTTTAAACCCTTGGCTTATGCCTTCTCTGAATAATGTGTTCCATATGTTTATTATAATTTGCATGAAGGATCCGTGCCTGAGTTCCTTTATTTATTGCAAGTTTCCTAGTTTTGGGAACATAATTTTGGATTCAGAACCTTTGTTGAGCCAATCACGCTCGTGGTTTCCAGACTGTAATTCAGAGCTAGTGCTCATGCGCGCTCTCTCTCTGTCTCTCTCTCTGTCTCTGTCTCTCTGTCTCTGTCTCTCTCTCTCTGTCTCTCTCACGTTCTCACTCTCTCAAAAAGGGGGAGGCATTCAGACATTTAAGAAGAGTGGGCTTGACTTTTGTCAAGTATTTTGACATTTACTCTGAAGAAAATGTTTGAGGGTTGGTTCGTTTGGCACAGTTCTAAGTAGCCAGATTTTGGCATGCTTGATTCGAGAATGCTGTTTTTCCTTCGTAGGCAGGATTAGCGTTGCTCTGTGAAATGATCTTTTAAAGTGTGCATTTATGCCCAGCCACTCTGGGGCTCCCCAGATGTTCTGCACAAAGCCAACCCCAGCTCACGGCAGCGTCCTTAATGGTAAACAGTGGATGGAACGTTCCCCCATGCCTGGCTGGGAAGTTCTCCTTTGACAAGGCACAGTCCACTCTCCCTACGTTGCCCCTTCCCCGTGCCCGCCCGGCGTGGGATCCTCTTCCTGACTGTTGTGCTGTCCCTGCCATTCATCCAGCAGACCTTGGACTCCGCGGTCACTGGCTGCTGAGCCCGTAGACTCCCTGTGGCAGCTTAAGTTTCGGAATCAGGGAGCCTTTCTCCTTACCCACAAAATGACATCCAGAATGTTTCCTGTTCTCTTTCTATTTTGTTTTTGAACGCTGCCAAAATGAATTTGATTTTAAAAGCCCAAGCTATTTTGGAAACATTGAAGTACCAAGGTGTTTCTGAATGTTTATGATTGTGGCACAAGCCAATTTGAAACTAAATGAATGTGTATAAAAATATTCCCTCTTGGCTAAGAACATAAAAGCCAAAGTTCAACTTGTGGTGAATTTTTATTGCCAAGTTATATACACCTCTCTGGACAAGGGTTGGTCATGAGATGTTTGATACCATCTGACCTCAAAGCGGCTGCTGCCCGCTCGCTTCGGGGTCTGACGGATACCGCGCTCTTTCATGTGTATTTTTAGGGCATCTGCGCGCGCTCCGCAGAATAAAGTTTGCTTTCTGCACCGTACCTCCGCAGACTCACCTCCAGTTGTGTTTTTACTAGGAAAGCTGGAAACTATAAAACTGTAACAACAACGCAAAAAATATATTAAAGGAGAGAAAAACAAGCGTACAGTGCCAACATCTATAAAGTGTTTCAGTGCCGGGGGTGGGAGAAGGAGCCGCGTTTTGATGTTCAGTATTTATACAGCTGCCTAGTTAGTGGTGAGAATTCAGAGCAGCTGTGAGACCTCTGAGGCAGGAAACACCGACTCACTGCGTTATTGATATTTAAATGCCTTTTATGTCTTAATCACTCTCATACAGGAATGCAGAATTCTGAAGAACTTTTCCTCCTTGAGGGCCATCGTTTCGGCCCTGCAGTCCAATTCCATCTATCGGTTAAGAAAGACCTGGGCTGCTGTCCCAAAGTAAGTCCCCAAGTGTCGGCTGGACTTTCTTCGGCTGGGGTGATTAATTGCTGCCTCAATGGTGGGTCCTCACCTTCAAAGCTCATATTATGTAACGAGGGAAACATACCCGAAGGCCTCTGTGCGGTCCGGGCAGGGCGCGCTGTAGGCATAAGCACTGAGGCGTGGGAGGCAGGGCCGCCGCCGAGATCACTCTCGTTCTCGGTGTGTGCCAGAGCCAAGGTCGTGGGCAGCAGGGACCATGTTAAGGATGGATGTGCTTATCATCTGGATTTTGAGGGATCAGGTTGTGGAGTGGTGAAGGTACAGCCATCTGCCATTATTTCTGGTTATTTTTCTGCCCCATTCCGAAGCCCCAAGCTATTCCAAGATGTGAGGGACAGTGTGTGCAGACTGGACGTTGTTCTTGCCGCTCAACGGGAAGGCACTGAGTTAGTTTCCGCTTTGGCATAGGAAAGGCTCGCTCAGTGATGCTCACCACCTCCAAGTGTGCCTTCCTATTGTTTTTCTCCATATTTCTTGGTACAACCTTTGAAGTAATTAACAATTTAATACCCTTATTATTTCACACACCCCCCTCCCTCTTCCCCATTTCCAGTGCTTTGCTTGTAGACCAGAGAACTTTCTGCAAAGGAGGGGAGGGTGAGTGAGAAGGCCCTTCTGGTCCCATCGCAGTATGGATTCAGAGGCTGGGAGTGTGTCCTGGCTGCAGACTAGGCCAGTCACATTCACCAGGTCTGCCAAGGCTTGAGCTGATCAAGAAGGCAGGCTCATCAGGGAGGAACGTGCAAACTGTTTACAGTCTGTACTGTATGCGCTGTCGTCGGTTCCACCAAGAGAGAGGCCAGCTGGCTCCCTAGGCAGGCTTGCTCTTGTGAAATTGGTGGGTTTGGTCCTTAGAGCAAGTCTAGTACCGAGTTTCATCAACTCACTCAGAGCTGATTAAGCCCAAAGGGACTGACAGTATCCAAACGTGCAAGAGACCCAGATTGGTAAACCACAGTTTCACAGACGTACGCTGAAAGTGAGTGCCAGAGAGCTCAAGGTTACCGATGAGCTCATATTCCCAATCGGAGGAAGACTGCTTGGGAGAAGTCAAATGATTTATCACATAATTCTTTGATGGTAAAGGGAAGAAGAAATTGAAGTGGACGATCTGACCGCCTGATGTTACAGAGCTGTCGAAACCACTGCCACGTGGACTCCAGAGCGCCCGCTCTGTTTACGATGCTGTTATCTCTCCGCAGAAGCATCGCAGATAGGCTTCTCAAAGTCCATAGCCATTTTCTTAATCACCGCTCTTCACTTGGCTCTCTCTGCTCTTAATTAGTTTGAATAATCAAGGTGACTCTGTGAAAGAGATTAGTTGATTGATTAACCTCTGCACATAAATGAGAAGAAAGATATGGGTTCCATAAAATTATTAGATAATAAGCCCTGGGGAGAAAAACGGGAAGGTCAATGTCTACAGGGTCCTCATCCTCAACACCCCCAACTCCAACTCCTTCCCTTCTCATTGCTCCCCGACTGTGGCATCAAAGGCAGAGGGGTGGTCAGGCGCTGAGATGCAGCCCTGCGTGCTTGCAGCCTTCTCTGATCGCAGTCAGGGTGGTCGATAAACAGAATACTGTGAAAAGCCACTTAGCCAGCCAAAGATTTCTTCCACAGCAAATCTGAGGCTAAAACACAGATAAAAAAAATGAGTGGACTTGTATTTTAATCTCCTTGGTTAATATGAGAAAGTCCATTCTTCCAGCTGGGTTGGTTTTTTTTTTTGGTACGTGCCCCCAGCGGAAACAAACCCCGGGACTCTCTGGTCCACAGGCCGACGCTCCAACTGCTGAGCCAAACCGGCCAGGGCTTTTTTTAAACGATGAAAAAAGCACACCCACAAAATAAACCTCAGAGACACATTCTGTGCAACATGGGTGTCTGGTTTGTTTCTTAGTTGTGCTGCTGGCTCACTTTTTAGCGGGGATGATACAGAAGTGTCACAGTCCCTTAGAGAAGACCCTCCCGTGTCAGCCGCACGGAGTTCCTATCGCTAAATTCAAGTGACAGGGTTAAGAGAGCTTATCTGGTTGTCATTTCCCCTGTAATCCTTTATGATGATAGCTCTTAGTGGACAGGGAAGATATCTGTTCATTTCTCTTTATTTAGGCTGACATGTAATCAATTTCTTAATTATTTTTCCAAAATATAAATAGCTTTCACGGCTTTCTTAATTACGAAAGCCAGATTGCACTCATTTTGAAACAAGTAAATGACCATAGTAACCATTTAACAGTGGCGCTCTCATGATAAAGTGTGGCAAGTAGAATGACATCGGCCCCGTGGGCTCTTTGCCTTCGGACCTGTGCGCTCAGTCACCCTGGAGGGGTGTGGAGAGAGAAACGCGAGGCCACGGAGCTGCAGCGGACTGAAAGGGACGAGGACAGGGTGGGCTGTCTACCGTGTGCCTCTGCCGACGGCACAGCAGTCCCGCAGGGGACTGTTGCTGTGTCCTCTGTACAGAGGAGAAAGTGGATCTCAGGAAAGATAAGCAACTTGTCCACAATCACGTGGCGAGTGAGTGGCAGAGCTGGGATTGGAACCCACCTCCTCTGACTCCTGAGTCCATCCCGCCATCTACTCGGCCCCCAAGAGTAAGAACACTGGCCTGCGGTTCGGGACACGGGTTCTGTTCTGTACCTGGAGTGGAAACCTGGGCAAATCCCTGCCCCTGGCATCTCCATCTCTAAAGTGAGGAGACTGGCCAAGATGATTTCTCAGGTCCACGGGGCCACGTGTGTGTTGCCAAGGTAGATTTTTAAAAATCTGCTGAAGAGAACGTGTCCCATCAAGCAACTTAATTTTCCAATTTAGCAATCTAGTTTTGTGATTATAAAACACATGGTTAGAAAAGATTCCTCTCCTCACACAGGTGATCATACCCACTTAAAAAAAAAAGCCACCCTACATGAAAAAGGTCATTGGTTTCATCTGCTCATATCACTCACTGATCATGAGATCACCATGACCCTCGGTAGCCAGAGGTGCTGAGGACAGCTGGGTGGAAGGTGTTGGGTTTTCTAACTTCATTTCTCGATGTTTCTTGATCCCTCTTACAGAGAGCGCATACTCATGTTTGAAGAACTGTCACATATCTTCTCGGACCACAACAACCATTTGACCAGCCGGGAGCTACTGATGAAGGTGAGGCCCTGGGAAAGGGTGCAGGGTAGCATTCTCTTTTGTTGTTGTTAAGCCTCACCCGAGGAGTTGTTTCCATTGATTTTTTTTAGAGAGAGTGGGAGGGAGGGAAAAGAAAAACATCAGTGTGAGAGAGACACATCGACTGGTTGCTTCCCGTACGCACGCTTGACCAGAATCGAGCCCGCGACCCTTTGGTCTGCGGGCCGATGCTCTAACCGTTGAGCCACACCGGCCAGGGCTGGGGATAGCGCTCCTGATAGTTCAGGAATCCATTCACGGGAACAGTGGCTCGCAGGGAGGCTCCTTAAGTGCCCGCAGGCCAACGAGAAGCCTGAGCGACCAGAAGGCAGACTCTTTGTTTTCTTAATGCCTCATCTAAGAAGCTCGGGACTGAGAAAATTCAAAGTCCGGCTCCTCGGCTTTACTGTTATGCAACCAGATTGTGAAACTTGGTGTCCCTCTTTAACAAGCTGCTCTGCAAATACCAAGTGCTGGCAGTTAGGTGGGTAAGAGGCCCCGGAATATTTCTTCTCAGCAAAACGTCTAGAATGACAGAGGCCGAGCCAGCAATTCCACATCCTTTATTTGGACTAAGTTGCACAATCTGTCATTCAGCAATATTTATTGAACGCCAAGTGAGTGCTGACTTCTGAACTCTGGGCGAGGTAAAGTTATAGCGTGCCTCGTTGAACTGCTCCAGACTTGTGTGGCACTCCGGATACTTGTAAAGCACTGGACCAGCCTCGGGGGGTACGAGGATGGCTAACGCAGATCCTGTTTTCAAGAGGTCACCTTCTAGCTGGTGGAGAAAGACACTAAATGAGAATAAGTCAGAGGCACAAATAACAGGCTGAGAACATTCATCAGAGGTGAACATAGAGCAGATACTATCTTCACAGCCTTTCTGTAAAGTAGATCTTATTATACTCATTTTGCAAGTAGCCAAGACTCAGGTAAGTCACATACCCCAAGGCACACCCCTGGCAGGTGGTGGAGCCCAATGTGGATACAACCTGGTGAGACTCTACATCCTGTGCTTCATCACTTCGGCATGCAACTGTTTCTTCTGACCACTTGGGAGTAGGGACAACGTAGGTCGGGGACCCCTTCATAGAGGAGGTAAATCAGCACTTCGGCAAGTATTGATTGAGTGTTCACTGTGTCATAGTTGTTGGAAGTACAACCACATTGAAGGGAGTCTCTGATCTTGAGATTACAGTCTCATGGGGGAGGGAGGGAGGGACGTGGACAATTACAGAAGAGTGTGAGACGTGCCACCAGAGAGCAAGCCCTGCACTGGGCAGTTGGAAGATAGAGTTCTTGTCCTTACTCCTGATCTGTAAATTGGAGACAATAATAGCATTTAGTCTACCAACCTCCTGGAAGGCTTTTGAAGATTAAGATGCAATATTTGCAAGCACTACACAAGTGTAAGTTATTTTTAGTATTTGGCAAGCTATATACATATGAAACCCAAGTATGCATAACCAGTGAAAATGAATGAAGCACAAGCTGCACTTGGGACCTTAGGGCCGACACTTGGAACAGGAGTGACAGTCAAGTGGAGATGGGGTGACTGAGAAAAGGCACCTGGTTGATAACTTAATTCTCAGCACAGATGATGAGTCCTTCTCCTCGGGGCCTCTGTTATGTCTTCCCAACTGTCCTCCTGCTCAGTCCTGCTCATCCTCCTGATTCAGCGTCGGCTCGCCTTCAGGCAGCCTGCCTGGATTCTCTCTGGGCTGGTTAGGTTCCCGCGTGAGCTCCAGCAGCCTGCCCTCCCTCTGGCCTAGCACTTCTCGTGAGCTCCGTCGGAACTGCCCGTGTGCTTCACCCGCCTCCCGACTGGCCTATCAGCCTCTTTCAGGCAGGGGCTGGGTTGTTCTCCACGGCATATCCCTAACGCCGAACACAGTGCCTGCCATGTACAAGTGTTCAGAAACTAGGTTTGACTGCATGCATTGGTGAGTCTTGTGATTCACATGACTTTAACAACTTGCCCACTGGGAGCCCTTTTTGGAGAAGACGGTACGAGCAGGGCACTTTTTGCTGATGTCTGACTTTGGATTTGAGCTACCTGCTTAATGCACACTAAACAGTGATTGCTGAGGTCATGTTCCTGCTCCCTGCTTCACATTCGCCTCAGTCTGCAGACTTGCAGTGGACACTCATCTGGTTGGGAGGCCATGGCTCAGTGGTCTCCCTGTCGATGACAGGAAGTAGACTAACTGGAGCCGCACATTCAGCTCGCAGCGGCTGTGAGTTCCCCTCGCAAAGGAGACACATCGGATGTGTGCAGCGCATCGCCTGGCGACGGTCCTCCGGCTGAAACCTTAGAAGCAAAGCTGTATCTGGACATGAGAGGTCCCATAAACCTTTTCTAACAGAAGAAGTTTAGCGCAGTGCTCTTGGTTAAAGTTGTTATGTGTGGCCCCAATCCCACAGAAATGAAACACTTGGCTATGAATGCATGTAGTCTGTGCATTGTCATTAATGATAGTGGAGTGTTTGGGCCACGGCATATGTACACACAGGTCTCTTTCCATCATCTTTGTTGATCATTCCTTCTCATGAAATATGTGATCCTGGGTGTTAATTCTCAGCACAGTGGTGACAAATGAAATCAAGGTATGTCAGTTCCCAGAAAACCACTGTGAAAAGAACCACCGCTGGCCTGTTTCCAACTTGCCCTCCTGGGCTTAGGCCGACTGTGGCTGCGTAATCCTGCTGTTAAGTGGCTCCTCTCCTCTCTCCTCCCCTCCCCTCCCCTCCCCTCCCCTCCCCTGTAATGTGCCAACTCCATAATATTATGACTGAGGGAACATAATAATTAGCAAGAATCTATGGTTTTCCTTTTGTTGGGAAAAAATGTTTTTATTTGCCTCAAAGATGATCTTAAACCCATTGCCTCCTTATGATTTCTGGGACTTAGGTAATGCTAAGTAGGTGAATTGTAGACTCCACAAATTTCACAATAACAGGGAAGCGGAACACCACCAACCTCCTTGGTTCTCGGGACTCTGGTGAGACTTCTTCCTGGTTGAAGCAACACAGACGACTTCTAGGAAGGCCCAGGAGTTTGGCTCTGGCACAGACCAACTACTGTTCAGTGAAGCCCCAAACACATCAGAGTCAGAGTTGGGTCAGGAGAGTGTCAGGACTGTGCAGACCTATGCAAATCTTCACCACTAGGTTCTGAGCTGTAACTCAGTGTACATTTACTGAGAAGGAGCCTCAGCTGTGTAGGCCCTAGTAGAAGAGGCCCCTCTGAGGCCAGGAGCAGGAGGGATGAGGGCAGCTGAACTCGGCTGAAGATGGAGAGAGAAGCTGAGACTCGGTGAGAAGTGGGCAGAGAGCGGGAGGGATGAGAGTGGGAGGTAGTGGGACGCTCATGGAGGGAGAGATTTGGAATCCACCCAAACACAGGCGATGGTTAAGGTCTTGGGGCTGGATAGTATTTGCACAGACTGAGTAGGGCTAAAGCAAGACGACTCTGGCAGAGAAGAGCTGCTGAGCACGGCGCGCGAGGAGCAGAGAGGAACAGCGTGCAGGAGGAACAGCGTGACGCAGCCCCAGCCCGTCAGAAGCTCCGAGGGCGCCGAGGGCCTGGGCTGGTGGGACGTCGCAGAGCAGAGGAGCTAGGGCTGAGGAAGAAAGACTGAAGCTGGGCTGTGGCCAATGGTGGGGTTTCAGCGGACACCTCGTTTGGAAGACCAGCACTGGCCAGCTGGCCAGCAGGGACGGGCTGTCCTTCCTGCCTCAGGTCTTTGTCCCTCCACCAGCGAGCGGTGGTCTGTCTTCATGCTCTTCGAAGGCGCCTCCCACCTGCTATTCTGTGACTCTCAGGAGCCTTCTAACTTTTCCGAAATCCTTTGTAAGAATTTTAGGTATATCTGCAGTAATTTCCGTACGTTATTTCTGCCCGTGATTAAGAAAGTGGAAGGGAGCCAGAAGGAAGTGGAAGGGGAGATGGACACGCTTATACCAGTCGGAATTGATTTCTCCAAGACAATGCTCAAGAATCCGGGAGGCCTCACGGCCCCCTAGCACAGGAAATGGCACAGTTGAGGCCACTTTCACTGAGCCCAGGACACACGATAAGAAGGAGATTATTAAACGATGATGTTCTTGATGATCCCTTGTCATAGGAGAATTACGGCGGACAGTCAGTCACGCTGGGTTCTGTCCGCAGCGGTGTACACGGACCTGGGCGAAGGCCGGAGAGGGAGCTGGGGGAGGCCGGAGAGGGAGCTGGGCGGAGGCCGGAGAGGGAGCTGGGGGAGGCCGGAGAGGGAGCTGGGGGAGGCCGGAGAGGGAGCTGGGGGAGGCCGGAGAGGGAGCTGGGCGGAGGCCGGAGAGGGAGCTGGGGGAGGCCGGAGAGGGAGCTGGGGGAGGCCGGAGAGGGAGCTGGGGGAGGCCGGAGAGGGAGCTGGGCGAAGGCCGGAGAGGGAGCTGGAGGAGGCTGGAGAGGGAGCTGGGGAAGGGTGGAGAGGGAGCTGGGGAAGGGTGGAGAGGGAGCTGGGGGAGGCCGGAGAGGGACCTGGGCGAAGGCCTGAGAGGGAGCTGGGGGAGGCCGGAGAGGGAGCTGGAGGAGGCCGGAGAGGGAGCTGGGCGAAGGCCGGAGAGGGAGCTGGGGGAGGCCGGAGAGGGAGCTGGAGGAGGCCGGAGAGGGAGCTGGGGGAGGCCGGAGAGGGAGCTGGGCGCAGGCTGGAGAGGGAGCTGGGGGGAGGCTGGAGAGGGGATAGGAGATCACTGAAACCTCCCTGCCATCCGAAGGGCCAAGTCACTGAGAAAGATCCTTCTGCAGCCGCACAGTGGTGGAAGGTCACATGCTATGGAAACGTAATAAACCCGGGAAACCGACTCAGGGGGACGCATGTGGAGGGTGTACGCTACTGCCTTGTGCAACTCGCCTTCCATTCATGCAGTTCCTGGAAAATGAGAACTTGAGACTGAAACCACAAAACGGAAAACACTTTATGTTCAGTCAGCAAACTCAAGATTAGTCATTATGTAGAAGAGTTTAAAAGAGTTTGTTGTTACAACAGCCAGGCGGAGGGAAAGGACAGCTGTCGGTCCTCAGGCGCCGAGGAGGGATGGATGTGTGACAGCTCTGAACCCGAGAGGCAACCCCGGAGGACTGGCGGGAGGAGGGGGCGGTCTGGCCTCCCAGACCCGTGCCGGCCTCGGTGCTGGACTTCCTCAGCGAGCTTCCGGACAGCAGTTTCACTTAGCTAAGAAATACCACAGAAAGTCCCTTTTCTTTCACAGAATGCTGGCACACACATTTCGGGCCAAGATCGAGAAATCACAAAATGTCCAGAGGAAGCGGATTCATTTCCAGGACATGTGATTACTTGGAGTGAAAGTTGGGCTGTGTAAAAATTGTCTCCACTTCTGGGAATTGCCCGCTTTGCACCGACAATCGATTTTCTGCCAGGGCTCCCCTTACAATGTGGGGGTCAGGACAGTCCGAGGCCGCCGGCTTCCCTGCAGATAGACCTGCAGGCAGCCTCGGGTTCGTGCGATTCGCCCAGAGCCTGCTGCAGGCCTCTCCGTTTTGCCTGGCACGCGGACAGTTGTGTGCAGGGTCTGTGCCAGCCACCAGGTGCCCCGTCTCTTCTTTCCAGTTCCTTGTCCATCACTCTCCTCTGTGTGTGCTTCTCTTTCAGGAGGGAACCTCGAAATTTGCAAACCTGGACAGCAGTGTGAAAGAGAACCAGAAGCGGACTCAGAGGCGGCTTCAGCTGCAGAAGGACATGGTGCGTGCAGCCCTCCCCTTCCCCGAGGCCCACGGGAGAGCCGCCTGGGTGGGCGGCTGGGCCCCGCCTGGTGCCGGCAGCTCCCACCTGCAGGCGTCCTGCGTTCAGAAAGCTCTCCCGTCCCTTACCGGCTCCTGCTCCGTGACCCCGGGAGGTCTGTAAGGCGCTGCTACTCCCACTGACCCGTGGGGCGTGGGCCCCGAGTTGCCAGCCACGGGTTCCCTGGAGCACTTCTCCTGTCGGGGGCAGCCTGCAGCAGGTGGGCTTCCGTCGTCCCGCCGTCTCCCTCCCTCCACTCCCGCACTTGGAAGCCGCCTTGGCCGTGAGACCCCCTGGGCTTCAGGTCCGCGATGGGGAAGCTTACTCAGCTTCGCACACACGGTGGCCCAGGCAGGACCTGGGTGCTGGGGACAGTGAGTCTGCTCCCGGAGGACTGGTGCTGTGCACTGGGAGATCTCTGCTGTCCCAGCCCCTCGCCATTTGCCGGCTCTCCTGCCAGTCGCAAGGGCTGACCACGTCTTCTAGTCCCTGTGCTCACGGCAGGTCAGCCTCCCTCCTGAGGGCCGAGGGAGAGTTGTAATCAGCGTTCGCTTTATTGGAACAGCTCCCCTGACTTTGCGCCTAGACGGGGGAACCAGAGAGAGAAGACTAGAGACTAACAAACTAACATCCTCGCCCTGCTCACAGAGTTCTCTCCTCTGGGAGCTGGGCAGCGTCGGGACGTCCTTAATGACAGGCCTCTGCTGTGACTGACGCCTGTAAACGTCGCAGTGTTTCAGACTCTTCTAGTTGTTCAGAGACAGGATAAAAATAGATGTTAAAAAAAAGAAGGTTATTTTGGTTCAGGGTGAGACCTTGTGTGCATAATGGGGACGGACGAAACACAGCTGACAGTGACTTCCTGAAGGACACGGCCGTCCGTGGCGTGACGCTCACGGGCGGCTCTGGCGAGGAGACAGCCAGCTCCGCCCAGCAGCCTGGCCTCGCCTGGCAGACCTCCTGCAGCGTCAGTGCCTCGAGGGGTTCGGGTCAGCTTCCCTGCAAATGCCTTTATTTTATTCTCAACGTAGTGAGTGGCTTGGGGGCCACTATGGAGAATAGAGGTGATTTCAAAGGACATTTGGTGAAATTAATACAGTGTATACCTGCAGTTGAAGTAATTCTACCTTGATTTGGAAGGGCCGATTTTTAAAAATAAGCTTTTTTATTTTGGAATTGACAGAGGAGTTCCAGGTAGTCCCGGAGTTTCTGTGAACCCTGCCCTAGTTTCCCTCTGTGGACCTGTTCCGTGATGCGGCCCACCTGTCGGTGCGGAGACATGGCCACTGGCCACTGTCACCTCAAGTCCAGTCTTCATCTGCATCTCGGCACCTTCCCCTTGGTATCCGCTTTCCTGGCAGGGTCCAACCCAGCTACACCCTCATGCAGTCATGTCTCCCAGTCTCTGGTCTGTGACCGTGTCTCAGTCTTTCCTTGTTCTTCGTGACCTTGACAGTCCTAAGGAGCACTGTCCTGGTGTCCTTCAGATGTCCTGCTGTCGGGCGAGTCTGTTGTTTTCCTGGCGGTCAGGCTGAAGTCACAGACTTTGGGGAAGACTGTCAGGGATGAAGTGTCAGTCTCATCCCATCCTGTCAAGGAGTACAGTGACATCAGCGTGACATCTGGTGTCACTCAGGACGTTACCCTTCGTCACTTGATTCAGGGAGAGTCTGCCAGGGTTTCCCCTTCGAAGCTACAGTTTGTCCCTCTCCTTGCTCCGTGCTGTGTAAGTGGTCACGGAGCCTGGGCCGAGGGCCCTGTGACAGTGCCGTCTCCCCTCTGTGTGCACACTCGTCTCCATGCGAGGCCACCCCTTTCCAGGGCATCCCAACCACTGGCCCTGGCAGAGGGGACGTCCTGACCTGCGCCTGAGCAGAACACGGGCCTCCTGGAGTGCTCTCGAACATTCTTGTCTGGTCTCCTGGCTCTGAGGCTTGGTTTTCAAAACGTGGAGAGTCAGATATTAGGTGATGGAGTTCTTGTCCTATTTGTGTAGGAATTTTCAAAATTTCACTCATGGAGTTAGCACCAATGCCCCCAAATTAGGCCTTAAAGGGTCCTTAATGAATCTCCCAACTGCGCCAAGGCCCACCAGGCCATTTAGACCGCTGCTTCCGTCTGTGAGCGGGCACCTTGCCCAGCGTCGCCCACACAGGTCCATTTGCTCCGGTGCGCAGGTTACTGAAATCTTTAGACTTGTCAGTAACAACCAGGCGGTTCTGCTGTGCTTGCTCTCCAGGGGGTGATGCAGGGCACTGTGCCCTACCTGGGCACCTTCCTGACCGACCTGACCATGCTTGACACTGCTCTGCAGGACTACATCGAGGTGAGTTCTGAGCAGGTGGCGAAATTGGACCTGCAGCCTTCTCATTGGAGACCTCGGAGAGAGATTCACTTTTACTAGCATCTGTTGAGGGCCCCTTGTGTCCGTGGCACTGTTAGATGCCACGAGGAACAGGAAGATGAACGCCGCCCCGGGCCGTGGGGGAGACATCAGAGCGGCTGTGAGCGGTCGGAGTGGCAGGGGTTCGAACGCAGTGCAGTGAGAGAAGAGGGAGGTCAGGGTTAGTTCCAGACGAGGGAGGCCTGCCGGGACCTTTGGAAGGAACAGGTGTGAGCACGGCCTTGCTGTTGAGCTGGGTTTCGGGGGTGGGAGCATGCCCTCCTTCCACTCTGCCTGGTGGGGCTGGGGTCATCACGTTTGTGGGTGTGTGAGTACCCCACCTTTCCATGTCGTCTGCTCAGAGGCACCCACGCTCGGGCTCTGTGGGAAAGGGGGTGAGCCCGTCAACAGGCGACTGTTAGTCACAGTCAACAAATGTCAAGCGGAGAATGAATCTGATATTTGAAATGAGACTTAGGGATCGGTGGTGTGTATTTAGTTCACCTCACCTCCATGCTTATCACATGTAATCGATCAGCCGGTGCGATTAGCAGGAGGAGCAGCGATTCTGCACGTTCCCGCCTCCGAGTTCACGGTAATGTTGTGCACATGCTCGGGCAGGTTGCATTTCCTGAGCTTTTTGTCTCTGCGTCCTCCGCCTCAGCTTATCTCAGGAAACACTCACTCACGTTGGGGAAGTTTTTGGAAGTGACCGATGACTTCGAAGTTAAATTCAGCCTACGGAGAATTAGGAGCTGGGGATGAAGAATTGAAACTTAACTTTTCGTGATGCTATGTAGAAGAAACTTCCCTTTTGATAAACCATTGACAGTTTGGTTCCTAGTATGAGTCAAGGACCATCTGTTTTTGGTAGAAACAAACAAACCCACTGTGATGGAGCATTACTCAAGCTTTTGCCTTTCCTGCTTCTGCAAGTGTGTTTGGATTCTGGGTCCTAACTCCTTAGTCATTATTATTTTAGTTGTTTTCAGACATTTGAAGGGAAGGCTGTTTGCCTGTCCTGTCCTATTATAATTAAAAGGATGTTTTTCTTGAAGCAAACAATGCTTCTCTTCCTCCACAGTAGCTATAATTATAGTGTCATTAATATTTATGACTTCATTTTAATCTTAATTAAAACCTTTGATTTTAATAAGACCTAGGACAACAAAGAGCTTGTCTGTGTTTCAGAGTAGTTTTGTTTCTCACACTTTTTTTTTTAATCTCTTTCAGGGTGGACTGATAAACTTCGAGAAAAGGAGAAGGGTGAGCAGAGACCTTGGCTGTGATTTTCCGTCTGACTTTGGGCAGGACACAATGAAAGAGGCGGGGACTTATGTTTTCTTTTGTAGAGGCAGAAAAAAAGTGAATGAGCATTTATTGAACATTTGTCATATACCACTGGGCTTGGCATGTTCCTGCACATTATCCCCCAAGAGCCCTGTGTGGTGGGGATTGGATCACCCTCAGTTCAAAGGGGAGGAATTGAGGACTGAGAACGGTGAAGTCACTTGGCCAGAGTCGCAGGGTTCAGACCCTGCCCAGACAGTCCAGAGCCCACCTTTCTTTCCGTACCCCCCACTCCTTATACGTGGCTTCAGCAATAACAAGTTCATCCTGTGAGGGAGGAGGGATTTCATAAGAAGAAACAACACAGAAGAGCTAATAAAAGTGGTTAACTCTTACGGATCTATCTGAGAGAGGAGAGGGAAGGTCTTCGTTGTGGTCTGTGGACAATTATTCTTTCCCTTTCCTGTCTGCATAGGAAAGGGCATTCAACATACATTTTAATATTTTTGTGGACAGGAAAATAGTTCTGCACCACACTAGAAAAGGATAAAAAAGAGAGCTTTGAAAATTTGCTATGGCTGTAGTGTTGTCGTAGCATAGTTAAATAGATATTTAAAACATTCAAAGAAAAAATGAGCGGGAAAAATAAAACTTCACCCCAGAGTACTCTTACTGTTCTTTAGTTCTTCATTCATTCTTTTATTCCACAAATGTTGATTGCATACCTGACATGGGTCAGGCACTATGATAGGTTTGGGTATTACAGCAGGAAAAAAAAGAAAAAGAAAAAGTAGAGCTCCCTGGTCTCACGAAATTCACAGTCCGGGAGGAAGGTGGACACATACATGGGCAATTGTAATGCAGCCTGATTCAGGGCTTGTGAGCAGAAGTAGTGGGTAATATAGGAGCATGTAGGAGGGTCTTCTATCTTCTATCCCCAACTTGTGAGTCCAGAGAAACTTCCAGAAGGAAATGACCTTAAAGTTAAAACCAGAACTTCAGGAGCTAAGCAGGCTGAGTTCACTGGTAACCAGATATACTAGCCTGGACAGCTATAAGCCTCTGTCCTTGGTAGAACATACTTTCTTCTGTAGCCTGATGATAAATGTCCATTGAGGACACAAGACCAAGGACAGAGGCCATCAGATGGGAAGTTGATACCATGGACTCTGCCGGTTGTTGAGTTACTCTGTCATGTCCTGTAATGACAGATCAAATTGTTATTGCCTCCCGTTACCCATCTTTGTCCTTTAACTTCGGAATAACCAAGGATGGCAATCTCTTCCTTTAAAGAGTAGAATGTGAAATTCTCAGAAACTTTGAGTATAAAACCTAAGGCTAACCCTTTATCCATCACTGACTTAAAAATCTTTATTGATGCATCTAAAGAAGTATAAATAATTTTAGATGTAATTATATACTTGCTTCTCTTGTGAGCTTTAAAAGACTTAGTTAAATGATTTACTGGAGTAGTAAAAACCCAAGGATTAGGAAAATCTAAACATTCAAGTTTATGAGGCACTGAACTGTTTAGATATTCAAACATACCAAAACTTATTGTTGAAGGGTCAGGTTTGCAGAAGATGGGGGTGGGGAACTTAGGGGACTTCCAGACTTACATTTTTAAAGAATATTTTAGGCTATAGAAGTAGAAAATTTAAATATAGTTTAGAAGTATTCAATTTTGAAAGAACAACTTTTCTATCCTTAGAATGAAAATGAGAACAAAGGAAGTCACTATGACTTTCAGTAGTAACTAGTTTGATATGTGTTGGTAGCTTGTTTTATTTATATAAATTCTTTATTAAGGGGAACAGAAGATTGACAGTTAAAACATACAAGGACTTGAGAGATTCGAGTTAGAATTTTTCAGAGTCACTCAGCCCTTTTTCTCTCTAAGGGAAGCTGTGCTTCAGGGTGTCCCAGGTGATGTTCTCCAGCGTTTACCTTCATGTGGCGATTTTTTAATGTTGAAAAGGTGTGTATTTGGTTGGCCTTTTTATTCACTCTTTTTTTTTTTTTTTTTGCCATGTTCTGCCTGCTTTAGGAATTTGAAGTGATTGCCCAAATAAAGCTCTTACAGTCTGCCTGCAACAGCTACTGTATGACCCCCGACCAGAAGTTCATCCGGTGGTTCCAGAGGCAGCAGCTGCTAACGGAGGAGGAGAGGTAGGCGGACCTGTTGCCCATCAGGGTGGAGCTGCGGTGTTGGCGAGAGGAAGGCCACGCCCAGTTCCTCATGTGGCCAGTTATTCAACACTGCTTAGTGAGCAGCTGCTAGGCTCTGTCTCCTCATTTTCAAAGGATAATGATGTAACAGGAAAAGCTGAATTGATGACATTGAAGATGTACTTTCAGGTTCATGTTCTACCAATTATTATCGTGACCTTGAACAAGTCCCTTATTCTTCCTGATCTTTAGGATACTCCTCTATAATATGTTTGTTTGTGAGGATTAAATGAAATCGTGTTTGGGAAAAATGTTGTTAAAGTACTTATCATCACCACCACCACCACCACCATCACCACCACCACCATTACCACCACCACTGCCATTACCACCACCACCATCACCACCATCACCACCACCATCACCACCATTACCACCATCACCACCATCACCACCACCACCACCACCACCATTACCACCACCACTGCCATTACCACCACCACCATCACCACCATCACCACCACCATCACCACCATTACCACCACCATCACCATTACCACCACCACCACCATTACCACCACCACCACCATTACCACCACCATTACCACCACCACCACCACCATTACCACCACCACCACTACCACCACCACTACCATCATCATTACCACCACCACCACTACCACCACCACCACCAGCACCACCATTACCAGCACCACCATTACCACCACCACCACCATTACCACCATTACCACCACCACCACCACCATTACCACCACCACCACCACCACCACCATTACCACCACCACCCCCACCCCCCATCACCACCACCACCACCACCACATTTGTCACTATTGTTAATTGGTACTAGGTTTCAATCAGGGAGGGGAGGCAGACTCCTGAAGAATTGAAATAAAATGCTGTAGGACCTCTGAGCAGGAACAGTTCATTTGGCCAAGGATGGGGGAAACAGAGAAGATTGTCATCAAATGTTAATACCTGGGTGGGATGTGAAGGGAGAGAAGGTTGTGCCAGGAAAACGGGAGAAGAACATTCCAGACAGACGAAGATGAGCAAAGGCTTGGTGGCCGACATGCTTGGCATTTGGACGAGCAGTAAGGACTCTGGTGTGGTTGGGACACAAGGGACAGGTTTCAAACTAGGGCTGACGAGTGTGGGAAGGTGCACTAACTCCAGGGTCTTGCACGTTGGCCCAGCAGTGATGCCTTTACCTTGTACCCAGAGGACTGCTCTGCAGGCCCTACCTGGCCCACCACATGTGTTCACATTTTCAAAGGGGCAGGGGAGAAGAATGGGACATGGGACAGTTATTTGAAATTCAGATTTTATTGTCCACGAATAAAGCTTTATTGCAACACAGCCATTCAGTCACATCTGGTTCATGGTTGCTTTCCCACTTTAAGGGCAGGTTGAGTAGTTGCAGAGACCATGTGGCCCACAAAGCCTGGAATGCTCGCTGTCTGGCCCTTTGTAGAAAGTATTTGCTCACTGCCACCGTAGCTAAGGGATTTCCTTGAACGTTCATCATCGGGGAAAGCAAAATCGACAGCAAATGAAGTTTTTGCCAATGAGAAAATGAGGTTCAGAGAAGTACTGTAACTAGTTAGTGGTAGGATCTGGGTTCAGACTCAAGTCCGCCAGACTCTACAACCTAAGCTCTGAAGGTGGTTGTATAATGTTGGGCAAATCATGTAACCTCGGTAAAACCTCAGTTTCCTCGTTTGAAAGGAAGATGGTTTCTGAGGTCTTTTAAAATCCCAGAATAGATGGGTCCTGTTACGTGGAAAGAAAACCTTTGAGAGTGTTCATCAGTTGCTGCAGATTTTTTTTTGCTATGTAGAAAACGAAGCAGTCATAACCTCTTCACATTTTCTTGTCTGATGATCACTCGTGTGAATTAGCTCTCTCTCGTTGTGTGCATCCTTCTCACGAATGGACATACAGACCTTGCTGCTTGGTGCTTTGGATCAGAAGTCCAGGCTCAGATCAGCAGCCGTGTGATGAAGTGTTAACGATGAAAGGAATCGTGTTCAACATAGCTGCTTTTTCCTTGCGATTTATGAAAACCCCTCCAGCTTAATATTGGAATAATTCCCATATCAATGAATACTTCTACTTGAGCAGATACTTGTACATACCTTTAGGTTTAAAAAAAGGAAAACAAAAAACACGTAATGAGCAGCTTACCAAGCTAACAGTCACCGCAGTTACCCTTCCTCACCTACCCGCACGCAGTGCGTCTGCTGGTCGGATGGCACTTTCCTGGCCCACGGAGTCCCATCTGCCTGGCGTGGAGCTGTCTGATCCGGAGCTTTTAATTCAGGATGTTTTGGCAATTAAAAGCCATGTTTATGTATGCTTATCAGTAATGTAATTGCCTATGTCTATTCACTGAAGATTAGGTAGTTTATGCGCGCGCGCGCGCGCGCACACACACACACACACACACACAGTAACAGGAGGGGGTAGTGAGAGGAGATGCTTCTTCCCTGGCTCTGCAGCTGGGGGAGAAGGACCAGGGAACACAGTGGAATCAGCCTGATGCTGCCACGAAGCACAAGTCCTCGTGTGAGGCACACGGAGCTGAGCAGCCTCAGTCTGTGGGCCATGCGGGAGGGGGCAGGGCCCGGGTACATGTGTGCGAGCTGGTCCTGGAGCTGTGCCCTCTGACGTGTGTGATGGAACACGCGGTGCATGTCTGTACTTCTCTAAAGTGAAGCCAGCAGAGCGTGCGGGGAGCCCTCCCCTTCAGCTGAGCTCTGACCTCACGCACCCTGCTCTCCCCAGCTACGCCGTCTCCTGCGAGATCGAAGCGGCCCCCGACGCCAGCGCCACCTCGCCCAAGCCTCGGAAGAGCATGGTGAAGAGGCTCAGCCTGTGAGTGTCCCTAGGGCCGGGCTCGGTCCTGTCACAGCTGGGGAAAGAGAGGGTAGCCAGTGCGTCCCCCGGCACCAGGGTGAACGTGAACAATTCACTCACTCGCCAAATAGCGTCTCTGCCCCTGTCACGGACTCGCTGTGCGATTCTCTGAGTCCGTCCCCGCCTCCCCGCTGTCCCGCGTGGTGTGAGGCTCCAGCAGCACGGCCCCGCCCTCGCCCAGCAGTGGCTCTCACGTGCAGTCTGGTGGTCTCCGAAGGGGCGTACCAGATACATGGCTTCCTTGCTTGGGAACCTCCAGTGGTTTTATTTGAAGGTAGCACCCAGACTCCGTCCTGGTGTACTGGGCCCTGCATGGTCTTCTCCCAACCTCCCTGACCACCTTTCTCATCCACACCCCGCCTGTTCACCTCCCAGCTGCCCTTCAGCCCACCAGGCTTGGTCAGGGCCGTGGCAGTAGCTGTCCCTGTGGCCTGGCCTGCTCTTTCTCGGGGTTAATACGGCAAAAATGTTACCTCCCGAGAGAGCACCCTCTCTAACGTTGCTGTCCACCCGGGGCGGTCAGTCATACCGGCTGTTCCTTCCAGGGGAACGCAGGCCCCGAAAGCAGAAACCTTGTATCTTGTCCGCGGGGCTGCGTGCTTAGCTCAGCGCCGGGCACAGAGAGGCCCCCGCAGCTCACGTCGTAACTCCTCTCTCCTCCTGAGCAAAATCCCAAGTCCTGACAAGGGCCCTCAGCACTCCTGAGGGTCCGCAGCATCGCCCCACCCTCCCAGCTGTCCCTTGCCGCTGTCCTCACCTGTCCCGCTCACTCGACTTCTCGGGGTCCAGACACCCAGACCTCCCTCTCTCTCGAAGACCTACACCTGTGTCTGATCTTCTCAGTGACACATCTGCTTTGGCCAGGGACAAGCCAGAACAGGGATGGGAATGTTGGCCGGTGTTGTCATGCAGAGTGGGCTTGGAGCCGTGCTGACCCGACCCAGCCCAGCTCCACCGCTGCCTCTCGTGTGACTTCCTGCTTTGTCATTGGTGAGGCCAGAGTAACGATGTCCACCTCAGTGGCCGTTGTCAGGACCAGGTAGGGTCGTAACACTCCGCAACAGAACCCAGCTCTCAGTGGGTGTCTGAAAGCTACCATTGTTTTCTCTAAGACAACTTTCTGTTACTACTTTTTAAATCTTTTCTTTTGGCCAAGATTCTGACTGTTTTCATGAGTTTTTGATACTTCCCTGCACTGTCTGTCCATCGGTCTCAGTGAGTCACATTGGCAGGGACGGTACAGGAACTTGGATATGGTCACTTCTCGGTGTGACACACACAGGCCCTTATCGGGTGTGGATGGCATGACCTCCCGCTATCAGAGGCTGCGCAGTCTCCTTTCTACCTGATCCCAGGCGATAAGAGGCATTTGAGGAGTAGGTTGAAACGTGATTTTATAGAAAACATGTATAAGTTCATCCTGATGTCTTGCCAAACCTCTCTCCTTGTTGAGAGGTCTGCCCTTGGCCCTCCTGAATGCTAGATTTATGAGCTTTTAAATTCACCTCTGGAATTTTCCGTAGCATCTCGCCATCTTTTCCCTGCTGCAGTCATGGGGGAGAATGAGCTCTCCTGAGATATCCGAGCCCTGACCGAGCCTTGTCCGCTGTGAGACGGGCCCCTGCGCAGGGAAGCAGGCCCTGGGGAGAGCCGGGCCTGCAGGGCGTCTCTGTGCCCGCTGCACCACGGAGAATCTGGAGTCTCCGGACAGTCAGGGGTCAGCACAGGTAGCGCTCACCTCAGTGCCCCTTTCTTTGCCCACTTGCTTTCTTTCCCTGTCCTCAGGTAGCTGCCACTGCATATTCATTTTTACGTCATTGCTTCTCTGATGCTCATCTCCAACCCCAGTGTGCGTACTTACTGTGCTGGCTGTCCTAGCATCCCGGGTCCCGTCTCTGCCCAACTCTGGCAGGTGCACGGCCTCTGAGGACCTTCACGTGAACTCCAGGAGCGGGGGCTCAGGGTCAGGGCCTGTGCGGAGCGTGGTGGGCACTCAGTACAGCGGTCGCTGCTGGAATCTTGCCACGAAGCTTGAGTGTAGTCCATGGTCTCTGCGGCTGAGTTTGAACATTTATTCTGAGTAAAAGAGGTCACGTGTCCCTCACCTTGCAGACATTTTGACAAGATTTTATGACCTTAGCATTTTTACAAATGTGGAAAATGTTTTTGTTTGTTTGTTTTTTCGCTCTCCCTACATATAACAACGCATTTATTCAAAGAGGGTGGAGAGTGTCTTGGAGCCTGGGGGGAAGGGGCGCCTTGTTTGAAGGTCAGAGGTGCCAGTATTGAGTTAGAGTTAACCTTTGCAAAGCAAAATGACCTCATTAAATTGCACAGCTGGAAGAACCTTTGGTCTTTGACCAATTTAGTTGTAAGCTAGAGACTCTTAGACAACGGGCCGAGGACCAACTTTCAGAGTCCCCCTTGGATTCCTGGAGGAGCGACAGCAGCACTGTTTCCTTCTCTAAACCGGGATCAGTTTCACTCCCCCCCGAGCCAGCAGCGTTTGGAGGTCCAGGGAAGGAGGCAACATGGAAAGTGGAGCAGGGGGGCGGAGATGAGGCAGACGCAAGGGATGCTTCGGGTGTTGGAATTTGAGTTTATAATTCCTAAAATATTTGACGTGAAATCGAGCTCATCGTCGTCGTTTCCGTTGTTGTTGTTTTGTGGTCAGCGCTTGTTTGTCTCCTGCCATCTTTCCTACATCTCACTCCTTCCCTCCCCCCCCCTCCCATGCTGTCTGTGAGTGGTAGCCCTTCTCGGTCCGTCTGGGGTGTATCCTGCCCTCACTCTTGGAACTACCTTAGATGGGCATAGAATTAAACAATGACTGTTATTTTCACTGAGCAGTTTGAAGATATTATTCCATGTCTTCTGTCGTTGCTTTTGAGATGCCTGATACCTGTTTGATTACTGTTCCCTTGATCATGTCCCCCACCCCGTTCCTTTACGAATTTCTTTTGTCTTTCATGTACCACTCTGCAGTTTGAGTGGTGATTCAGTCTTATTTATCCCATTTAAGATGTGGTTCCTGGATCTCAGGATTCATGTGGTTCATTAGTTCTGGAATCTTCTCGGCCACCATCTCGTCAGACAGGTCCCTCCTCCGTTCTCTCGACTGGCTTCTGCCGGACCTCTTCATGCAGACACTCGGGCATTTCTTCCTCCTGTCTTTTAACCCGTCTCCTTTTCCATGTCTTTGTATTTGGATGCTGATTTCTGAGGATTTTCTTCACATCTGTCATCTGGTTCATACTTTTTTCTCTTCAACACTCTTTAACCCTTACACTGAGTTTTTCATTTAAATCACTACAGTTTTCACTGTAGAAGTTAATTTTTTTTTCAAATTATCTTCCTGTTCTTTTGCCATCATATCTTGCTCTTAACTCCTGTTTTCAATTTATTATATCTTTAATATTTTGAAACATACTTATTTTATAGGTTGGCCCATGGTAGTAGACACTCAAATATTTGTCAGATGAATGAATAAATTATTCGTTTCTTTCTTACAGCTTGTGTATCTGGAGTTCTCAGGAGTCTAAACCTGTTGTGTGTTGTGCCTGTTGACTCTCTCTTTGGTTAGGATGTTTTCTTGTGTGTATTTCATAATTTTGTGTTGTGAGCTCATATTTATCCGGGAATTCTCTGCAGCCTAGGTGGAAGCTATATTCCTCTAGAAAATTTTTTTTTAAATTCTGATTTCTTCAGGTAGTGGCCTGAGAGTTCCTAGACCAGTTGGGTAGCAGTCTAAGATCACACATGATTTCTGGAGAGATGTTTTCCTCTCACGAAACTGACCTCCGGCGAAGACAGAGAAGCTGCCCTCCTGTCTTGCTGTGCCAACAGGAAGATACTTTTCTAGCCCATCTTTTCCCCAAGGGAACAGCCCTTTGAGGGCCCTGGCCCTGTGTAAGGGGTCTCAGTTCCAACTCCCTCCCTTACATCAAAAGCTGCCCTCATCTTCGGGGCCTGTGGATGCGTTAACATCTACGCCCTGGTGTGCTGAGGGTGGCGCCCACTCCCCAGCCAGGGCAGCCGCAGAGCCAGCTCACAGGCTGGTTTTCAGTCCCCTTTCCCTCCTTGGCCTGGCGGATATTCCTTGCTGTCCTGCATGCCCAGCTGTAAAGAGACTGTGTAAAGGGACGTAGGTCGTCGCAGTCCATCAGCTTGTAGACACAGGCGTCTGCCTGCTTGGTTCTTGTCCAGCTCAGGCCAGTCGTCTTCAGCCTCAGGGAGTTCGTTTCATGATGAGACTTGATCCTGTCAGCATGGTCCATAGACTTAGAAAATGGAGAACCCTTGACCTAAGCAGTCTGTGTGTTCTTTGAGGTTGGAAGTAATCTCCTGGGACAAGATGTTCACTGTGATCTGTTAGAAACTTTGTAGCACGTTTTCCTAAAAGAACAATGACCCAAGATTGAGACAGCATCATGGACTAAATCAACACAAAACTACTTGCTCCACCGTGGATTCCAGGTTTGTAAGAGGCTGACCACCCGGACTTGTGTCCCTGCAGACTGTTCCTGGGGTCGGACATGGTCACCAGCAGCACGCCCACCAAAGAGCAGCCCAAGTCCACTGCCAGCGGGAGCTCTGGCGAGAGCATGGACTCCGTGAGCGTGTCGTCCTGCGAGTCCACCCACTCCGAGGCCGAGGAGGGCTCCGTCACTCCCATGGACACGCCCGATGAGCCGCAGAAAAAGGTGGGTCCCCCGTCCCTTCCCTAACTCCCGGTTCAGGCACCTGGCAGTGTCTGCCCCCCGAGAAATGTCTCTCTCCGGCTCATCACTCCACGTATTTTGAAAGTCATGTTTGAGATGCGTCAGAAGCAGGTCTGTCCGGGGACTGGTTCTGTATCGACGCAGACGCAGGTCTGAAAGCAAGGAGCGGGGTTACTGCCCTAGCTTGTGAAATACTGTTCCGTGCCCACACGCAAAGGCAGCTGAGGGATTGTAACCTGGAGCACGGGCTACGCTTTACTGAGGAGGTGCAGGGTCTTCTTAGAAGAAGCAAATAGCCAGGAGACAGAGATGTGTTGACTTCTTGGTGTCACCCGTCTCAGCCGAGCTTGTCCCACAGTAATACTGTGTAGCAAACCACTGTTTCTTCTCTGTCACACGCTGCAGGCTGGTTGACTTGGATTGGGCTTGGCCCTGGGCCATGGGTCTGGTCCGGGTCTGCTCTGTCTGCCTCCATTCTTTTTGGAGGAGCGGGCTAAGAAATATGAACAAGGGGCAATCCAACCCCGTAAGCACATACTAAGCCCTCACCTGGGTCATCTCCGTCAACATTTTATTGGCCAAAGCAAATCATGTGGCCACATCTCACATAAATAAATGAGGCAGGAACTATATTCCACTTCTAGTGGGAGGAACTGGAGTCATGGGGCAAAGGGCATGGGTGCAGAGGAGGATAAGGGATTGGTAACAATGATACAATCTGCCAAGTCCCCCATAAAAGGAAAGTGATGAGAGGCGATAAAAGAATTCCCATAGAGAGTTGCCATTTTCCATGCGGTCTAAACAAATGAAAAGAAAACAGAAGGTCTATCTTAACCTTCTGCACACCTCTGCTTCAGGCGTTGGTCATGGGGCTAGGACCAAACATGTCCACTGTGACATGACGAGCATTTGCACCATTTGGGAGGTTTTCAGCCAGCCACCCTTGCTGTGTGAGTGGCTCCGGCCCTTTGCTTGTGCTTAGGCCAGTGAGGCAGTGTGGCTGACAGTCCCTGCAGTTTGTTTCTGTCCATCTGCAAGGAATGTGTGTGCTGTGTCCCACCGTGTGACAAGCAGCAGCAGCAGTCCAGGGTCCTCAGGTGACCTTGTCACAAAGTAGCCAGTGCAGGAAGGACACTGTACTCGGGACCCACCACCGAGTTGACTCGGGTGCTGCCCCAGCTGCATTTCTCAGCTTTCTGTTTTGAAATCCAGGGAACATTTTTTAAATGTCAAGGAATCGCTGCAAACACCTGCAGCCGTCTCTCAGGTATTTTCCTGAGCCAGGGGTGTGATCCTTCTCCATGACCGTGACATGCAGCATCGCATCTATCAAAATCTGGAGTGAAGTCTCATTAGTCACCTTTCAACGGGTCCTCAAGCTTTGTAGGCCCTTCTCTGAGGATGGGCATTGTGCAGAAGTGACAGCTGGGTACTGCCCTCATCTTCCTGGGGTTTCTCTCTGTTCAGGAAGGAGATCGATCACAGTCGCACCTGTTGCTGTGATGGACATGTGCATGGGTCCAGCCCATCCCCTTTAAAACTACATAGAAGCCCCGTGTCCCTTGCCACCCCTCGCTGCATTCCTTGTTGTCTCCTCCCTGAGTGCCGGGGCTTCAGTTCCTTGCACAGGTCATGAATTTTTATTCTTTGCAGGAACCTGGCTCAGAGTCATGAATTTCTTTAGGTTTAAACGTAATTGAATTGGATGCAAGTAGTTGCTAGGCTTCAGCATCCCTGAAAGTTAACTGGCAAGGCCTCAGCTGTCCTGCTCAATTCAGAGCTGACCTGGATGACCCCGCTCCCACCCCCACCCTGAGATTGTGCAGCCCTCCGGCTGCCGCCCTGCCCACCCCACTGGCTACACCGCGTGCACTGCTTTGTAGCGAAGTGTGACTTCCTCCCTTTTTCTTCACTCCCCGATCACGATTTCCAAACATGTATCCTCACCCTTACTCCTCAGAGTACATTCTCATTAAGAATTGGGGGCCCCTCAGGTGGTCTGTTTAGAACTGCTGTAATCCAGCTTTATCTTCAAGGCTTTATCTTAATTATAAATGTTGCTCACATCATAGGAAAATAGATTTAGATGAAGGGAAGAGAAGGTGATAACATTGGACCAGGAACTGGAAGGTGGACCCCCTTGGCTGCTGTGCGGGGCACCTGCAGGTAGAACGGGGCAGCTGACTACCCGCCCCCACTTAGCCCTCACCCCGGGCCACTGGTTTGGTTCCCTTGGGAGCATAAGGGAAAATGTAACTAGGCCATGTTATGATGGAGCCACAGGTAGGTTCCTGCATTTCAGAGCGGAGATGCCAGCTTGCCGGGCTCCAGTTAAATTAACCACGCAGTGGGATTTAATGTATATTGCGCCATAGGAAGAAGCCCATAGCAAATACCACGGAGTAGACTCCATTTTAGTTGGAAGCCAGGTAATCAAAACACTAAATTTCTGGGCTCTCTTTCCATGGAAAGGTAAACCGATATGAGAGAAATTAATGTTATTTATTTTTGAAATGACTTCCAGATTACTTGATAGGATTAAATGGTATGGTGGGCTTAACTCATTCTGAGAGATGATTTGGAGTTTTCTTCAAGTTGATATTTAAAATGATTCAAGTTAATGACTTTTGGGACCACCTGGTGAGCTTGGGGCATGCTATTTCTGTGGTCATTGGTACTGCACACGTAGTGAATCAGAAAGCTCATGAATTGGAGCACCTCATTCCTCGATGACCCCTGACGTAACCAAGGAAATGGGTGCGGTCGGTTCCAGAAGCAGGTGCAGAGAGCATTGGAGCTCTGAGCCGTGTTCCCTGGGCAAACCACTCTGTTCCCTGACTCGTCCTTACGGTGCTCTGCCTTTTGTTCAAAGACAACGGGAAAGTTCCTCCCCACCTCACAGTGGCAGACACACCGAGCTGATGGACACAATGCCATGTTCCGTCACCACGGTGTCACCTGGGCCTTGGCCGCGCCTTTGCTCCCTGAACCCGCCAGGACCCCGGGGAGCACGTCTGGGTGCTGCTGTCAGTGGTTTTCCCTCTGGTCTCGGGTTCCTCAGCAGCAGAAGGAGAAAGAGCTAGGTGACCACTAATATTTCATGCAGAACTATCAAATGTGGCCCTTATCTTAGAACTGTCTAAAAACATCATTTCTCTCCTGCTACAAAATCGGATTGCGAAGTAGAATACGGATAGAAATGCTCTCTGCGGTCAGGTCAAGCATCAGTCCGCTCCAGGCAAGTGGGCCTGGATAACCGGCCAGTCTGGGAGGCTTCCCCTGCCCAGAGCTTTTCCGCCTGCCGCGTCGCTTTCAGTTCCTGGTGTCTGCTGCCATCTGCTGGTTCACTTCCCTAAGAGCAGCTAATAGCAGGAAATGAGGGAGCCCCCTTGCCTCACGCAGATGTAGAGGGATTAGGTGGAGTAGGGAGTCACTGATAGGCACCTGCCATGGGGGTGCTCACACCAGAGACCAGACGCAGGTGCTGTGGGCTGTTTGGAGGAAATACTGAAATGTATTGGAAATTGTGAAGCGCACTGTTGGCCAAGTTCTAACAGCTCCCTTTACTTGTGGGGTGTGTTTACTCTTTCAGCTCTCCGAGTCGTCCTCATCGTGCTCCTCTATCCATTCCATAGACACCAGTTCCTCAGGGATGTCGTCCTTAACCAACCCCCTCTCCTCTCCTCTGTCCTGCAACAACAACCCTAAAATGCACAAGCGCTCCGTCTCCGTGACATCCATGACCTCGACAGTGCTGCCTCCCGTTTACAACCACCAGAACGAGGACACCTGCATCGTCCGCATCAGCATAGAGGACAACAACGGCAACATGTACAAGAGCATCATGGTGAGGTGTCAGACCGACGCCCCGAAACACGCGCTGTTAGCATCTCTGCACGTTCGCACAGAGCGCGTGTGTGCCCAGGGATGAGTGCCCCGCTCTCCCAGGCGTACGCCAATAATGCACACATAGAAATACTTGCCAACAGTGCATATAGGATGTCCGTTTCACAGCTTATCATTTGCCGAGGTTTATTCCTCCGGGTCAGTGTCACCCTTTCTAAACAATCAACTTGAACCACCACGTCATGTATTCCAGGAAGTCTCTGTGGAGCTACACGTCGGGTTTATAGTCGAACTGCCATGCAGTCTTAGCACTGTCTTCCATGGGGCAAGTTTTTTGTTTAGTCATTTGGAATCAAACTTAGTAGAGTGGATGATCAAGCTGGAAATACAGCTTGAGTCCACGAGGTACGATGTTTATAGATAAATGAGACTAGCCTCTTTGAGCTTCTCATAAAGACTGTATTTTTGAGCACAGTCCCAAAATAATGGCAGTCTTTTTGGAATACAGAGTCTCCTGGTGCGTGTGCGTGTGCGTGTGCCAGGGCTGGTGTGTTTTTCATCGACAGTAGACTGGCTTATAGGATACATCGTATACTGGGGAGCAGATCTCCTTTGTGAAAAACCCCACAGTAAATCCTACATCTGAGCTTCATCACGCTCGATGTTTGAGGGCACTTGGAGCACTTACAGGCTCAGCTCTGAATGTAACGTAAGTGATGTGGAGGAAACTGTCAACAATCTGCAGACAGGCTTCCCGGAGGCCTCCAGGGTTGTGTACCCGTCCCTGGACACGGACTGGGGGTGGGAGATGAATGAGACAGCTCTGTCTCTGGAACTGATCATCAGATGGGAGATCATAAAGCATTGTCCAGTGTTCCAGAGACTCTCGCTGAGGTCAGGTCAGGTCGATGATAAAGGCCTTTAAGCCCACACGAAGGGGGTTGTGCTAGTGCCATAGGCCGTAGGGTCTTCTCGAAGGCTTTTAAATTATGGTCAGATTTATTCACTAGAAAGTAACCGGAACTGTGGAGGCTTGAGGCCAGAGCACAGGGCTCGGTTGGCGGTGGGGAAGCAGCTGTCCCCCTCCACATGGGGGCTGATGAGGGCTCGGATGGTGTTCACATGATTGGAGACAGTATAGATTCTAAGAAGATCTTAATGAGGTATAATTATAGGATCTGTTCGTTCAGTTATCAGCTTTTGGCTACCGTCGTGGGGGATGAGGAGGGAGGACTCACGGCTGTCCAGGCAGCCTGGCGATGGTGGTCCTGACAAGTGAAGTGTGAAGTGCTGGAGGGGGTTTGGGGACACTGAAATCGGAGGTACCGGCAGGCTAGCCAGATGGCGCTGTCAGGTGGCCGGAAGTACGGGCTGGTACGAGTGTCGGACACTGGGAGTCACCAGCCCTGCCGGGTGGATACGGCCATGCGGAGGGAGCACAGGCTGAGACAGACTCGGCCGTGTGCGGACGGGCTGGTCCAGGGGCCCGGGGGTCGGAGAACCAGCGGGAAGCCCCGGTCACCCCGACACTGTGTTTTCAGCAGGGTTCGTTCACGTGGATCCCCTCACGTGACTCCCAGAGAAGTGAGTTTCACCTCAGTCACTCTGGGGTGTCTCTGCACTAAAAGGGACTAAGAACTGATACGGGCACCAAAGTGGGTGAATCTCTGAAGCATCATGTTGAGCCAGAGAAACCAGACACAACAGATCGCACGCAGCAGGAGTCTGCTCCTTCAGCAACAGGCTAACCCAACGCGTGGTGTTAGAACACGCGCCCCAGGGAGAGGGGCACTGGGAACTGTTTGCTCCCCGTTTCGGGTGCATGAACCCGACACCCAAGCATGGGTCAGTGTGGCTTCCTTCGGGGGAGCAGCCACCAGTCACGTGTGGTGGCGATGACGCATCTGAAATGTGGATAGTGTGAAATAGACACCAGATTTTGAAGACTTAGTACAAAAAAATAATGTAAAATATCTCATTAAAAATTTTTTTTTTATTTTGGTACGTGCCCCTAGCGGGAACCGAACCCGGAACTCTCTGGTCCACAGGCCGATGCTCCATCCGCTGAGCCAAACTGGCCAGGGCTCATTAATAATTATTATATTAGCTATATGCTGAAATAATATTTTGGGTATATTGAATTAAATAATATATTATTAAAAGTAATTTTTAAAACACTTTTTTAATGTGGCTGCTAGATATTTAAAATGACGAATGAGCCCTGGCCGGTTTGGCTCAGCGGTTAGAGCATCGGCCTGCGTTCCGGAGAGACCCGGGTTCGGTTCCCGCTAAGGGCACGTACATCGGTTGCAGTTTGTCCCCGGCCCTGGTTGGTTGTGCGGGTGGCAGCCACTCGATGTGTCCCTTTCACATCGATGTTTCTCTCTCTCTCTGTTTCTCTCTCTCCCTCCCACTCTACCTGAACAAAAAATGGAAAAATGTCCTCGGGTGAGGATGATAAAATGACGAGTGAGGCTCACGGTGTGGATACCCGCCCTGTGGTGCTGGTTCAGCATGTCAGCATAGGCTGTGTGTCCATCACCAGCTGTGGCCCTGTTTCCCTCCGCAGCTTTCCACGTATTAAGCGCTCAAGGAAAGCCCGTGGCTGTCCCGTCGTCCTGTGGACACACGGGGAGTTTCAGGTACAGGAGAGAAGGGGAACCGGCTTTCTCCTTGAGTAGGGTTCAGTGGACAGCCGGCATGACCCACAGCCCGGCCTGCCACCCCTGGGGTGTCCTTTCTCCTCCAGCCGTGCGCTCCTTGTCCACCGTGATCCCGCTGCGGGAGGACTTCTCTAGACGATCAAACAACCTATCTTCCTCCTTTAAAACTGTGTACTGATTGCTTCCTGGCAAGTGGATAAGCCAGACGTTTTGGTAGTAGACAGATGTGCAAGGTCTTTGTCGCCTACAAGGACCCGTTGTCATGCACGTTGTTTCCTGACTCGCAGATCCAGCTGCGCCCTGCCTAGAGGGACATCTGGGCGCTGCCACTCAGGATCAAGGACTGGTTTTTCTGGAGGACTTGAGACTTGTTTGTTTTTTGTTTTGTTGTGGTGGTTGTCTCTCCTTTTACCTCCTGGTGAGAGCAGCTTTTGTTTTTAAGTGAGAATAATTTGTGTTTTTATTTGCTTTCTTTCGTATTTAAAATCGCCCAAGGGATGGGTGTTAGTCAGCCCTCTGTTCCCAGCACCTGCCATCCTGGCTGCTGGGCAGAGATGAAGGGAGGAAGTCAGAATTGTGGTGAGAGGAAGCTTTTCTTATTTTTATTTATTATTTTTAAACATTTAGAAGCTGATTTTTATTGAAGCATGATTTACGAACAATTATATACACAGATCTTGTGTTTAGTTCTTTGGATTTTGATAACTCTATCTCTGCCTGTGTCTTTGTTTATTCCTGTGTCTGTGACCGTGACTGTGTGTGTGTCTATGTCTGTGTCGGTGTCTGTCTGTGTTCGTGTCTGCCTGTGTCCGTGTCTCTGTCTATATCTATGTCCATGTCTATGTCTGTCTGTGTCTGTGTCTATGACTATGTCTGTATCTGTGTCTGTGTCTGTGTCTGTCTGTGTCTGTGTTTATGTCTTTGTCTGTGTCTGTGTCCATGTCTATGACTATATATGTGACCACCACCCAAGTCTAGATAAAGAATCTTTTTCATCCTTCCAAAAATTTCTTTGTGCCCCTTCCTGTCAGTCCTCTCTTGACCTAGTTAAGTTAGGTAATTAAGGTTAGATTTCTACCACCACAGGCTAGTGTGGCCTGTTTCTAAAAGCAGTGACTCCCGCAGCGTGTTATCTGTTGTGTCTGGTTTCTTTGGCTCAACGTGATGCTTCAGAGATTCATCCCCAATGTTGCCTATATCAGCTCTTAATTTCCTTTTATCTGCTGAGTGGTGTTCTGTTAGGAACGTGCCATAATTTCTTTATCCATTCCCTATTCTCCTGTTGATGGAGACTCAGGTTTATTCTAGTTGCTAGCTATTATGAATAAATCTATGAGCGGGTATGTACAAGTCTTCTTGTGGACTTATGCTTTCATTTCTCTTGGTAATACCTGGACGTAGGATTGCTGGGCCATAGGGGCACTTGTGTGTTTTGAAGTGGTTGGTGGGCAGAACTGGCCGTTTCTGACCACAGGTTGTAACCAGCGCCAGAGCAGAAGCTTGGCCGGCGAGGATGCTATACATTCTCCACAGCGCCCTCGTGTGCCTTCCACTGGAACCGCAGCCAGTGCGAGGGGCAGCAGACGTGCATTCTATGGTAACGGGGACACTGTGACTCAGAGTAGGTGACCGAGCGGATGGCCCTTCGTCCTCTGGCTGCTACGACTGCAATCGAGACTGGAACCCAGGAGTTCTGGCTCCGGGTCCTGTTCTCATCCCACAGGCCACGTCCCCTGGAAGACAGCAAGATAGGGGTCCGGAGAACTTTTTCAGGAACACGAAGCTAAGTACCTTCCACCTCACTTCTTGTCCCCCAGCTGACGAGCCAGGACAAAACCCCCGCTGTGATCCAGAGGGCGATGCTGAAGCACAACCTGGACGCCGACCCGGCGGAGGAGTACGAGCTGGTGCAGGTCATCTCGGAAGACAAAGGTGGGTGTGGCGCCCCCTCCCGGCGCCTCGGGGCAGGTTGCCAAGGTCTAGAGGACAGAGAGTGGACAGGCCTCTGTTTAAGGGGGGCGGGGTGGCATTGTGTGGGGAACCAAGCCGTCACCTCACTTGTAGAGTTAAGCATCTCAGGCTACCCCCAAGCCCTCTGTAGTTTTTGAGTGTTCCTGCTGCCCATCCTTCATAACCTGTCATCCCAGGTCGAGTCTCCCTGTGGCAGGAGGTGGGGGCAGTCGGGGTTCTGTCGGGTCTTTGCAGATGGCCACGCACCTCCTTTACCCAGTAACACGTGTCTCGGTCGTGTTTGGACCTGAAGTGTAGCAGTTTCCGTAATCATTTCTCATTGTTGCAGTTCATCATTTATGAGAGGCTTATAAGTTTGTCTTTCAGTTTACCCTTCTTTTTAAAAATATTTTTATTGAATTTTAGAGAGGAAGGGAGAGGGACAAAGAAAGAAAACATCGATGTGAGAGAGAAGCATTGATCGACTGCCTCCTGCATGCACGTGCGCGCACACACACACACACACACACACCCCACCCCCACCCCCGCCGGCGATCAAGCCCATAACCTGGGCATGTGCCCCTACCGGGAACCGAACTGGCAAGCCTTTGGCGCATGGGTCGACACCCAGGCAACCGAGCCACACCGGCCAGGGCTCAGTTTATCTTTATTCACGTTTGACCTTCCAGTAGCAAAGGCTTCTAACACACTTCAAGAGACGAACTGGTGATCTGTGAAATGCTTCAGTATGCCTAGAACCCACTATGTACAGAAATTCCTTTTGTGAAGACTGGGTGAATAACCACCCTGAATGTGTGTGTGCTGATTTGAACTGAGCTGTATTTGTTGCGAGGAGAAGACAAGCTGGTGGGAACTCCTCTGTACCGGCCGCGTCATAGAAGGGGACTCAGTAGAATCGATCACACTTCCACGCCCAGAGGGGCAGCAGACAGCTGATAGGCCCAGCGCTGACCGGTGCACCTGTCTTCATGTAGCCCCCCGAAAGGAAAAGAATGATGCAGCTTGGGGTACGGGAAGGGAGCAGCTGTCATGCTCCATGTGCCCGGCAAGTCGCCCAGGCTGTACCTGGCCTCCTGGGGAATGGCCAGTCAGTGGCATTTCCCCAGACGGGAAGGACTGTAGCCTCGGAGAAAACTCGTTTCAACCACCTCTTAGAGATGTTCCCGTTCATTCAGCTAGCCCTAGCTTCGTGGCACACCTTTCTCAGTTATAAGGTCTATTTTTAATAGTTTCAGTTAAAATTCTAAGCCTCCAAAGTGGTCTGTTGAGTTTCACCATGTTGCTGACCACACTGAAGTGAGGCCGGCGGGTCTGAAGAGCCAGCTTGGCTCATCGCTGTGTGGTCTCGGGTGGGCTGCCCGACCTCCCAGGCCTCGGCCCTTCATTGGGTAACTGGGGTGATGTGGGCAGGAGACAGACACTTTCAGGGAGACATTCTTTATGAACGTTTGTGCCCGGGGCACCGGAGCTGCCCAGAGCCCGATGTGTCCGTCTTTCTGGAGAATCGCAGGGTTGAGTCAGCGCAGGTGACGCAGCCTAGTTTCCGCAGTCCGGTGCCACCCCACCCCACGGCCACAGAGCTAGACCGCACATTTACCTCCCTAGTCCCCGACTTTGGTCACTTAGACACTCATTACCCCAAAGTGCTAAAGAGTACATACTTTCTTTTAAAAATAAAAATGAATTAAGATAACGTTGCTTGATAATTCCATATCACACTTGGAATAACCCTAGTTCAGAATCGCAGCATCTAGTTGGGAACCACTGGAGTGGATAGAGTGTAACTGTTAACAGATACACTGTCTTTGTGGGTGCTGATTAATAGTAAGTGAGGGCAGGGCCCCATGAGGAATAAAGTACGGGTTGGATTAGGGACTACTTCAAAAAAGGTTTTGATATTCTAAGTAAAGAGTTCTGGGAAATGCTGTAGAGATTCTACCCCCGCCCCCATGTAACGTTGGAGCCTCTTGCTCTCGAGAAAAGCTGCATGTTGGGGTAGAAAACAGACGACAGGGAGACCTGGGTCCTGTCCGGGCTCTGTTGTCCCTGCTGTGATCTGGGGAATGTCACTTAAACCCACCTGGGCTCTGTCTCCTGCAGAGTCCTTCTGGTTAAAACATGCTGCATTTGAATATTTAGCTCATGGGCTGAATTTCTAAGTGCATATTTGCAGTTAGTTTTTTAAATCTGGATTCAGAAGTTGTAGGAATCTGTGTTTTGTGTGTGTGTGGGGGGGGTGGTCATTGTCTGGTTCAGTTCCCGTTCCCGAGACGGAGGCCCCAGTCCAGCCTTGTGTCTGGGCAGTGTCCCCGGCCCGGGCCGGGCTGAGCCGCTGGCTGACTGCCTTCCCCCGCCCCTCGTTTCAGAACTGGTGATCCCAGACTCCGCGAACGTCTTCTACGCCATGAACAGCCAGGTGAACTTCGACTTCATTTTACGCAAGAAGAACTCCACGGAAGACCCCGTGAAACTGCGAAGCCGGACGAGCTTGACCTTGCCCAGGACAGCTAAACGGGGCTGCTGGAGCAACAGACACAGCAAAATCACCCTCTGAAGGGAGGGACCAGGGCCCTGCTTGCCCACAGCGCAGGGGCCCAGGACAGGCCATGGTGGTGCCCCCACCATCCAGCGGTAGAGGATCAGCGGTGAAGCCAGCAGATATTTATTGCGTGCCTGAGACGTGTGAGGCACTGTGACCGGCGTGGTGGGGACACCGGTGAACTGGACACGAACAGGATGAACGGTTCACTGATTCTCTTTGACCTGTTTGAGACCGAAATGCAAAATTATCCACATTTATACAAATATACGACACACATTTGGTATGTATGTGTACATATAAAAGTACATGAGGAGCTTCGAGGACATTCTGGACTATGGAAGACAAGTTTGCACAACGGCCTGGGAAGCTGAGGTCACTTTTTACAGGGAAACAGAAGGAACCGGGAACCTCGTTCCCTACCTGCCGAGTGAGTGGTCCAGCCCTGGCAGTGCAGCGTCCTCCGCGCCGGTGACGGGACGGCCACCGTTTCTGTGAAGGGAGAAGGTGGGCCTCTCCCTCAGGGCCACCAGAAGAGACACCTGCAGAGGCGCACGTGCCAGGGGCTCAGTGACAGGCCACTTGCAAAGGGTTTGGATGAGCCGCGGCTCCGGCCTCTGCCAGCGTCCCCCCTGCTGCCCCAGGGAGGCGGGGGGAGCCTTGGAGGCCCAGCCCCCCTGCTCCAGCCTCACGACACCTCTGGAATCCGCACGAGCCGAGCCTGTTGGGGTTTCTGGCAGCGGCGGCGCTGTTCCTGACTGGCCCCTGACTTGCATACCGCAATCATTACTGCGCACGCAGCCCTTTCTCTGGAAGCCGGCGCTTCTCCGACTGCCTTCTGCACGTGACGCTCTGGGTCGGAGTCTCTCGGCATCTGGACCAGCGCCTCTGTACTTCGTGAGATTCGTTCCTCAGGTGTAGAAACTTCTACTGCGTCTGACTCTTAGTCGGTCATTTTGAGCCTGTGAAAGATTTCTAAGCCCAGATTCTCCTCCAGCCCCTCGCGGACACGCCCCGCGACAGCGCTGTCCCTGGGACCTTGTGTCTCTGTGCCTCCTCCCGGGAAAGACGCGCTGCGTCCGACCTGACGCGTTTCTGGAGAGGCACTGTCTTCCAGGTGGGACCGGCGACGTCCGGTCAGGTCCCCCACTTGCATCAGCGTCACTGCTAAGTGACGTTTCTGTGTCTCTGGTAACACCGTCACCCTCTCCTTCCAGGTCTGAGCTGTGCTGGGGTTGAGCTAAAAAGCCATATGTGGGATGTTGACGTGTAAGAAGCACTTTCAGAATGTTGTCCTTTTTAAGAAGATTCTCCAAATACTAGTTTTCATTCCCAAAATAAAGAGAATGAAACCACAAATGAAGTGTAGATGGTAACGTGGAGCTTTTTATTTCCCTTCTAACCCTGTGAGACAGCTCCCGAAGGTGAGGGGAGATGTATGTCGTGTGCGGGACTGAAGTCTGAAGGAGGCACCTGGGGAGGGCCGCCCTGAGGTCTTCCTGCGACACCCCTCGGCGCATCCCAACATCCCAACGACCGGCTGGGTTCCGTCCAGTCGAAAAGCACTTTCTTCTGTCCGTGAGCCTCGTCCCTTTGTGCTTCTGTGCTGGGAGGAGAGGTGGCCGGGGTGCTAGACGCCATGGATGCTACAGTACATGGAGCCTCAGCCTGAGTTCCCGGGTCTGGGGATCAAGCAGGAAGTAGAGACCTGCTGGCCCCCTTTCGAGTGCAGCGGCTGAGCCCGCGTGTGCCTGTGTGCTCGCCCCGTGTATTTATACTGTATGTGTAGAGTCTAGATTTATATACTGCAGTGTAAAAAATATCTATTTTCCTTTTTTAAAAGACAGTGGAAATTCCAAGTAGATCAAACACAGCCTCGTTTATTTATGCCACTTGAAATGTCTTCGGTGTGTTTCCCGGCGGACGGCGGGCGATGCTGTCCGCTGCTCGCATGCTTGTCTCCCCGCATCTGCCCGCCCGCCCGCCGGCTCACCTAATAAACTGGTGTGGGGCTCGGTTGGCACGTCCGCTGGCCCCAAAGGAATCGCCTCCGGAGTATTAATGAGGTGGGTTCTGGGTCCCAGACGTTTCCGTGAGCTCTTTGGACCCCACTCTGGCTCGGTCGGAGGGAGCAGAGGGAAAAGCCCGGGCAGAGTGGGGAGGGGGCCCTCTCCACCGGCCAGTGTCACAGACGTGGCAAATCAGATGTGGGGAAAGAGTGACACCCTCGGGAGACTGCTCAGAGGTGAGGCTGTGCGGCCAGATGGCTCTTCGGAGCCAGGAGCGGGGGCACTTTGGCCACAGCGGGCTTCAAGCTGGGGCCAAGGCCGTCCCCCGAGTCCGCAGAGCCGCCTGCACGGTTCTTGAACCCCGGGGAAGCCCTCCCAGAAGGCAGCCACGCCGGGGCCCGCCTCACCCACCAGCGGCACGTTACTGTCACCTCATCACATCAGTTCCAGAAAGTTCCCAGAAGTATTTCCCAGTAGATTCCTAAGTGGTTCAAATCATCCAAGTTTCTGGGCCCTTGTGAAATTTGTGAGAGAGCAACTAGGTGTTTTAGTAATTGATAACACGGGAGGGGCGGGAAGGAAAGGGATTTCGGTTTCCAGGACTAGGAGACTACTTTTTCGAGATCATTCTGGAACACTCGCTCCCTTGTTTTGCCTCTGTCTAGAAACGGGACTTGGTGACTTTTTGTCGAAAGGAATGTCTCAAAATTTCCCTTTCTGGAACCTTTACAAACTTGCCATGCAGCTTCGGACCACAGGAGGCACGCGGCGTCGCGGGTGCCCTGGTCCCCGCGCGGGGCGGTTCCGATGCCCGTTCTCTTCTGCAGAGGCGGCCGCAGCGGCCTGGCCATAGCCCGCACCCCAGCTCCGCTGGGAGAAGATGCCCCTCGTGCTGAGCGTGGCCAGGCCCCCAGCCGCCCCTGAGGAAACACGTCTAGGGGGATGTGTCAGGCCAGGCTGCGTAGGAGGCCGTGGACTCTCCGCACTTGACGGTTTCTTTCCCGTCACGTCGCAGTGACGCCAGCAGGCGGTTCTCCTGGGTGACTTTCCTCCCACAGTGGCTCGAGGGCCCAGGCAGCTCCCGTCCTGTGCCTCTGCCGTCTCGGGTTCTCCCTTCACGTCTGAGTGACGGCAGAGGGGGCTCAGCACTGCCCCTCCGTGCCTCCTGCCGTGGCAGTGTCGCCTCCACGCACAGCCCTCAGTCCACGGGCACCCGTTTGGGGGGGGCCACTGGGAGAAGCCCGAGCAGTCGGGAGCATCTCTGTCCCCCACACGTCTTCTGACTAGGCTGCCGGGTTTAATTTCCACGGTCATCCAAACAAAAAGTGCTTGCAAGAGAGGGCAGTGAGCGCGGAGGGGCTGCGCAGAGCCAGGGAGGGGTGAAGGACGCCCACTCGAGAGGAGCTGCCGGAGAGGAATGAATTGTGTCTGCGGTGAGCCTCCCAGAACCTGGGGATTTTCCGCGGGCAGTCACCTCCCACTTACACACGTGTGATGTGGTCCCGGCTCCGACCAAACCAGGAGCTACTGACAGCCGCAGGTGTTGAAGACAAGCCTGGGAAATGGAAAGTGTTCGCACGTAACCCTGAGATCAGATAGAAGCCGGGCAAACGTAACCACTGTTTGGCTTCTCAACATCTCTGCCCAGAAAACTGTGAGGAAGCAGTTTGCTTAGCAGTTGGAGAAATCAAGTGTGTGAACATTCTGTTGTTGTTAGTCCCCACCCGAGGATGTTTTTCCGTTGATTCTTGGAAGGGAGGGAGGGAGAGAGAGAAACATCGACGTGAGAGAGACACCAATTGGTTGCCTCCTGCACAACCACAGTGGAGGCTTGGGATCGAACCTGCAACCCAGGGGCGTGCCCTCGACTGGGACTCAAACCCGTGACCCTCTGGTCCGCAGGCTGACACTCGTAACGCTGAGCCAAACCGGCCAGGGCGTGTTAACGTTTTGTTACGAGTTGGAAGGCATCTCACAGGTCATGACGTGCCCGCCTCCGGTGACAGAGATGGGCCGAGTCCCAGGGCAGTGAGGTCAGTGGCCCGAGGTCAGGGGCAGAGCCCTGGATTACCGACCGTGCTCCGTGCACATCACATTGGACTGGGCACTGGGTCCAGGAGGCTTTCCTGAGGGTTACCCTGCCACTGCCTGGCCGAGCTGGAGACAATACCTAGGGTCTCTCCATCCCCAGCCTTCTGGCCATGGGAATTCACACCATCTTGGTTAGATGGGCATCTGGTTGGTTCTGTAAAGTCTCTCTGTGCTGCTGGTCAGAGCACTGCTACCTGTTATCCTGAGCATGGTCCCATCTCACAGGTGAGGAAACAGGGCCATAAGAATCAGGATTATATTGTGAGGTAGTCCCCTAGCCCCCTAGCTAAGATTTGAATCCGTTTCTGACCCCTGAACTTGGCTGGCCCACGGGGCTGGGCGGTGCAGGGGGAGGGGGAGGGTCTCCGTGAAAAGCACCAGCTGTAGGAGGAGTTAAAGGAGTGGATGTGACAGGCTTGGCTGCACCCAGGAGAGCTAGGGCCTCCCTGCTCTGCCTCGAAGAAACCATTTTATTCCCGCCATGGTTTCATCCCAAACAACGGTGTGCAGTTCCAATTTCTTAGAAAAGGGGAACCAGAAAATCAAGTAAAAAAAAAGGCAGTGAATGATTTAAACCGTTTCTGGATTGCTCCAGACATAAAAAATATATCAAGGCACCAGTTTCGAAGTGGGAGAAACTTTCTAAATGAGACAGTGTCCCCCAGATATCCATTTCTGATCCTTGTTCATACAGTAGCTGATGTGCAAGCCTCCAGCAAAAGTCATCAGAACACACGTCCGATCACTGAATCATCGATATATGAGATACCATGGGGGAAAGTAAACACCGAGGTTGGAGCTGCTCGTGTGTGTGTGTGTGCGCGCGTGTGAGAGAGACAGAGACAGAGTGACAGAGACAGACATGGAAACAGAAGAGACGGACCATGCCCCGGAAGCTTTGCACGGATGTTATCTGGAGTTACCTGACTCCCAGGCCCTGACCGCCTTAGCTAAGTCGCTCAGCTGTTGCTGCCCCTGAACAGTAGGGCTGGGGCTTGACGGCTCCCACCTGTGGGGGCTCGCGGAGGCCTGACTGACACAGCACACGGGAGTGGAGAAAGCCCTTGGGCGCACACAGCGTCAGCTGCTTCATTCCAGAGGCTTCTGGCCTAGGGGGCTGTGTCTTCCCAGACCCCCCCCCCCCCAGGTAAGCAGCCACACTGCAGCTGCGACAGGGTCCGAGCTGGGAAGCACCCCGACCCCGAGTTGGAGGGCAGCCAGGGCTGCTCCGGCTTGTTCCACAGCCGCAGGCCAAGGAGGCTCCCCGAGAGGGGCTGTGGGCCCGAGGCCTGAGCACAGGGGGGAGGGGGGGCAGCGGTGGGGACACCGGCCAGGCTGTGCCCTGAGGAGTGGGCGTGTCCCTCCCAGAGCCCCAGCTTCCAGTGCGCAGGAGGCGGCAGCAGGGCCCCACGAGGTCCCACCTTCAGTTTCCTCTGTAGTCAGGGAGGGACCCTCCCCTCTCCCAGGTCCTTCCTCCTCGTCCACCGACCCTGTGTCTCTCGGGGCAGGAGGGGGCTCTGCCCGGAGGGCCCTGCTCGGACCATTCAGATGCACGACCGCGAGTTGCTGCTGCTCCACCGGCCCGGGGTCACCAGACACCCACCGGCTCCC